TATGCCCACTGACCGTTTTCCTTCAAGGATCTTCCTATTCTTCCGACTTGAAGTGCATTCATCACGCCTCCTTTTCACATTCAAGCGATTACCGACCATCCTGCTTGGCCTGTGGACAACGACAACGCTTGCAGCTGCCGCAACGGATCCGCCCTCGCCGTATGGCTGACAACGACTGTAGTGGGTTTGTCTGAAGAGCCTAGGCGGAAAATGGACATCTGTGCCGCTCACATGCTCGATGGCAGACCAACCAGAAGACAAATATTCCTCGTAATCTCCGCCAGCTAATCAGGACCTGCTTGGGTGCGTGAAATAATCGTCTCAGATGCCCCAAACTCAGTTCTTCTTGTATATTACAGCCACCACCTCGAGATAAGACTTTACCCGCATCTCCTTCCACGACAACCGTTCTTTCACGTCTCTCTTTCCGTCCCCATCCAATCCGGACAACATTTTCATTAACCCCGAACGGACTCTCCAAACCCTTCGCCTTCAGGCCCAAAGCTTGCGCAACAAGCCTCCCAATACCCATGTTCCAACACAATCCTACTCCATTTGCGCCTTTACGCTCTTGCGGTTGGCGCTGCCGCGCACTCCCGCCACGCCCAGTCCCACAACTCTGTTCCCAAAATCTTCCTTTCGTGGGCCATGACTAGTTGTTGGATGCTGGCCGGCGCCTCGATCAGGCTCGATGATGACCTCCGTGGTGGCTGAATCCAATCGCTCTGCCCGCCCTTTTCCTTCCCGTGCGGTCACGCGTGACTTTGTCACTCCATCGAAGACGACGATAAAAACCGTCCATCCCTCGTTGTATGGCTCTACCGACCCTACCTCGAGCTTCGGGACCATCTTCTCACTCCTTACAATTAATATGGCTCAGGGGCTGCCTGCGAAAGGCCTCCAATGGACGCACTTTTGTTCACGGGTGGACTCCGTCGAATTCGTTGTCGTTCAGTCGGAACTCGGCCGTGGGTTCAAAGGACTATGTGAAGATGGTGTTGATTGAGAGTTTCAGGCCGTTTGCAGAGGCATGGGTAGCTCTCTGGCCGCATGGCAACGTAATACTATGGTGATCAGACTACCAATACTCTCCCCCAGCCGTCCTCACGTTTTTTTTTCTTCTTCTTCATTACTCATTTTCATTGTTGTCTACTATACTACGCATCCATACATAATCATGCATTATGATAAGCTTGACAAATAAATAATTTGGGTCTAAAACGATTGGAAAGGAAGAACGCGTGTCCCAAGCGTGGTCGAAGCGTCCAAATGCACGATGGAACATGGTCGTGGCTGGCATTACAGATGCGAAGTCAATTTCAGTGCAAATATTGTCGTTGTCGCAAATACATAGTGTCAACGAGACCTTTTTCGCCCATTGCGGCGCCTGGAACGAATTGTGCGGCGCGAATAATGTCGGATGAGACGGGATATACGGTCGGTAGAAGCGTTGGTTGTGCAGGCGCAGACTTGCAAAGTCGTATGTCAGCTTTGAAGGAGGGCCGCGCAAGCGGGAAAAGGCAGGTGCAGGTAGAGCTGGCGCTTGCGCAAATGTGGAGAACCGAGAGGACGTCTTGGAAGTAGTGCTTTTGGTGATGGGTGGTTAATGGTAGATGGACGAGGATAGAATACAGTGATTCTGGTGGAACGCAGGGCAAGGAAGAGAGACGAAATGGTGTAGACAAGGTAGAGGAGGGCATATGACGGTAATATGGCTGGTCTATGCTATAAGGCGACTATAGCGCCAGTATTTCCCTGGCCTAAAAGAGGATGAGTCCACCACCGGTTACGATAAGGACCACGAGACGCACTTATTCAAGCTGCTTCATACGTTCCTCTCTGCCCTTCCCGCTGAAGCTTGTTCCCGGGTCGTTGTCGTGGGTTCTGCAAGCGTTTCAGATATGATTTGTCGCTGGGCTTGTTTCCAACTCCTTGTCATGGAGCCTGTGAGTAATTACTGGTCGCGCAGGACTCCTAAGTTGGCAAGAATGAATATGCCGTCTGCGTTGTGGTCATCGGCGGGGATTTGAAGGGCATCTGCGCAGAAAAGTGTCAACAAAAGGAAGGAAGATAAGATCGTGCTTTGACGCACCATGAAGACCAGCGATTCACCATACGGCCACGTTACACTGAGTTCCCGTCCCACAGAAGCTTGCGCCCGTCGCTGGTCGGGGCAGTAGTGCCGCGCAGCATAAGGCAGAGATAGAGTCTGCTGAGCAGAGGCAAAGTCGGTTGAAGCTCGTGTGGCGGACTGTGAGAGACGGACCTAGCTGCTTGTGGACCCGGACTACGACGAGTATGGGTGTGGAGAAGGGATGGACGGGTGCTCGGGGCCGGTGGAGGTGCGGAAGAAGGTAGTGTGTGACGGATCACATTTCACCATTAACCGCCATGATAAACTGCTTCGTCTGTTCGTTCCGCCCGGAGGAACTTAGCCTGCCTTCTGCCTCTCAAATCGAAAATCTCCGCTTCATAACTCGCTCAAATCTTCCAACTCCTCCGGATATTCCCGCCAAACTCGATGCTGTGGCTGTGACCGTTGCCGGCTATGACGCTTACCTTGGGCGGCTCGAAGAACTGGTTCAGGCTGCCCAGGAGGAACGAGCCCGAGCTGTGGTATATGAAGCTCAGTGCAAAAGCCTCCTGACGTCGCCTATCCGCCAGCTTCCAATCGAAATTCTAGCCTACATCTTCAAGCTCTGTGTACTCATATCGCCTGCGGAGATGTGCGACACTATGGAGGCAATCAAGGACTCTCGAGAGGCGTTGAGGAAGGTGGTCAATCAAAACCTTCACTCTCTCATGCAAGTGAGTTCTATCGTCGTCTAATGAGTGCATCGGCAAGCACTGATTCGCCCCAGGTTTGCCCGCGCTGGCGGGAAGTAGCACTAGCAACGCCAAGTCTTTGGAGCCAGCTTGTTGTCAATGGCCGTTTTCTGACTAAGTCAACAACTGCATTGCAAAGGTCCTTGAACTTGCTTGAAACGGCTTTGTCTCGAGGCGGTCAATACCCGCTGACTTTACTGGCCAAAGCAATGTACGACTCCTTGTTCACGGATCGCACTCGACATACACATCTTTGTCGCTTGCTAGAGTCGCTCATACAGCAATCACCCCGGTGGAGGGACATTGCTCTGGATTTCAACCCCACGACAGCGACGCTACTTGCTCCTATCCAAAACCGTCTGGACTGCCTAGAATTGCTAGATATTACCACCCCTAGATTATGGCAGCCACCACCCTTCCCCGCATTCGACTATTTCTCCAATGCCCCGCGGCTACAAAGGGTGCTGTATACCGGACTGGCAAATTGCATCGTTGCGCTCCCATGGAGCCAATTGCAACACTTCTCATTCTACGCGCATAAGCTGGCCTTCGATCCGGCCCATCTCAGCTTTTTGCACTTGGAAAGACTTCCATCGGGCAGCAAATTACTGCTGGACTTGTATCTTGGACGGAATCGCAACCCGACGGCGCCGATACATCCGCAAAGCGTGGCGAGTCAGCTGCTGACGCTGCAGCTTCAAACAGAGGACATCGCAGACACCACCCACAGCCTGGGACGCGTGCTGGCTTCGCTCTGCTTTCCCCAGCTCACGGAATTGGCACTGAAGGAATATTCGCCGGTGACAACGGTCCATCCGTGTTGGAACCAAGCGGAATTCTACAGCTTCATCGAGCGTTCGGGCCTTAGCCAACATCTTTCTTCGCTGAGTTTCGACCTACCTTTGGCGACAGCCGACCTTTGCGATATTCTCGCACGCCTTGAAGTGCTGGAGGACTTGTATCTCATAGACTCATACAACACCGACGTTCCGCCGCTCGTGACGGATGAGCTCTTGGAACGCCTCACGGTGGAGTCGGCAGGCAATGACCGTGACACTGAAGGTCCGGTACTGGTGCCCCGACTTGGTTTATTTTCAATCGCCGGTCGTTTCGCCTTCATGGAGGAAGTCTTGAGGAAGTTTTCGCAACGTAGGATGCTGCATCTGGACGCAATCCATTCCGCGTATAGCTTCCATCTCATTGTGAAACTCAAAACAGGCGTCCAGTGTCCTCTGAGCGAAGACCTGCAAGCTGAATTCCAGGAGTGGGAGAAGAAAGATCAGTTTGTTTTTTTAATAGAGACACCATAGTTAATCTCGCGGTGTACTCAACGTCGGAGGAGACGCGGGAAACAAAATGATGGCATTAGGCATGCAGAGCTACGACGGAAGACAGTAACGAGAAAGGATCGCTACAGTGTACTCCCCGAAAATAGGCTTCTGGACATGACGAAGCAAAGTAGGTATATGACCATAGAACCAGTACATTGGTGTCGTATGATATTTAAGGAAGGGGAGGAGGAGCAGAACACACACCCTTCGAAACTAAGGCTTCCATCTGTTTCGTCGTGGTCGTTATCTGCAGCAAGTCCACGATGCGAAAGAGCTCCAAAACCACATTTGCCTCATTCCTCTCTAAACACCACGGCTCTAATTCGAAAACGTCGTCCACAATAAGTCTCGCCAGGAATATTTCCTGCCAGTGAAGTGGCGGATGGGAGCTGCCAAAACTTCGCTTAAGCTTTGCTCGGAAATGGGTGTGGGTGTGGCGGATGGTAGAGCAGAGCAAAAATGTGTGGAGCCAAGATTGGCGCTCATTCCATCGCACCAACTTCGCAACCGCGCACGCGACCAAGTCCATTTGCGAGCGAGCGTCATCCGGAGAGCTTCTCCTTGTCATACCTGGGAGACAAGATGTAACGCATGGTTACATCGTCCTCCAGCCCGGAAGACGGTTGATAGAGCCATAAGAGATATGAACTGAATTTGGAGTAGTCCGTCATTCACCGATAGGCACAAGCGCCCTCGCCCGCGCGGAAAAATGTCGACCATGCCTCCCATATGGCCGCAAGAGACAACGCGCTCAATGGCGGCCCTCTCCACGAATGGCAGGGAAAGAAGAATTGAGTAGGAGGCATCAGGTATGTGGCACGACCAGATACACTCCATAGAGCGCTAGCTGCCGTGTCGGGCAAGATATGTGGACGTCTTTCGCCGGGCGGGTGTGCACGTGACTTCCCATATGTGGACCAAGATTTCGATTGACTTGGGCGTGCAGGAAGCGGAACAGCTGACGACGAGACACGGAGGTATGGCTATGTTGTGTGAGAGGAAATATTGTTGTTCATGTGGCTAAACGGCGCTTCAGACTTGGAAGATGTAGCGAAAAGTAGACCGTACCTTCCAACGTGCTTGTCGAGCTGGTCGAGCGCAGATGAGATGGGTCGTTTGTATTGCCGTCGGCCACCGCAAGTGTTCTTCAGCGGACATGGGGGCAAGGAGACGTCTGTCTTGACAGGCCAGCGCGAGTGTAACGACGCTTAGCCAAACCGCGAAATTTTGCTGTCGAAGACGGTCGAGCTGCTTCACCACCACCAACGCATCTTCCTCGTGCCGTTGCGGAGATGAAACAAAGATCATAGGTGGTAATAGCGGGGAGGACTTGAGCATCAAGTAGGCGCGATGGGTGGTCAGATACGCACCTGACAACAAGCGATATGCACGGAAGTCTTCCAGATACTGGAAGAATGACGAGTCCCGAGACTGTCTGACAAAGAGTGTTGCTGGAGAATGTCGCGGTATCATGATTGCGACCTGGAATCAAGCCGACAAATAGCCTGCGAGGGAGAATGTCAGCAACAGCCTTGGGTAAGGAGAGTGACTTTTCGCGCACCTGTATCCACATCCGTTTGTCTCCCGCTGCCCTTTCTAGATCCACCCAAAACTCCCATCGCCGCACCGTTACTGTGGAGTTTGGACCGACATCGTGTCCCCCATTTGCTGGTAGTTTGTTGTGGTTGCGGCCAGACTGCAGGGTGGCCTGAGCGTAAATTACTAATGCTAGAGTTAGCCACAGATACCAACGAAAGCAAGCAAAAGAAACACACCTTGCTCCGTTACCAATTAAACTTATCCTGCATGCCCTTCTTCTCGTCTCCTCTGCTCCCAGTGGCGCAGACCATCATGGCCTTTCTCTGGATGTCAGGTCAGCAAAACAGAGAAAGGCGTGGGGCCCACTCCTCTCTCCTCAGCCAACAATGGCCCTCAAGTTCGTCCGCTGGGTTGTCGCCACTTCGGAATTCGATCTTGAGTTAAAACGAGACGAGTATGCTGCGTGCCGAGATGAATAACGGTGGTGGTGACAATATAAGAGAAGGAGAGTTGATACAGGACTCGTGTGAGTGCGAAGACCCGGGCCGAGCCATGTGATCTGGCCATCTTCTTTGCTGTCGACCACCACCACCGATGGCTTCCCGTGCTTGGATGCCTCTTCAATCGCGTTCCAGCGCTCTACGCCACCCAGGGAACTCAGCACATCAGGCCACAAGCAGGCGTGTCCCCACTTTTCTTCCTTTCTTCACCGATTGACGTGTTCTTCAAGTTTCAGAACAGTCTACGATTCTCATGACCGGCGCAAACAACTAAGTGCTTGGCTGCGTCAACGACTAAAGGTGCGTTGACGCCTGTGAATGTTTTGCCGCGTTTGCCAACAAGATCGTCAGACTCATCTGCAAGCTCAAATAGCAATACGCTGAACCGCCTGTGAACTGAAGCCAAGTCTGGGCTGACGCGAGGAATATGGACTGGGTCAAAACGTGTGTGTCAACGGTTTGTGTCTAGGCGTGTTGTTGATATCTTCCTAGATGGGCTCTCATCGTCGGCTGGCAGAAGAGCACACACTTGCTCTGCGTCATCTCTTCCTCCCATTGTCCCGGAACGCGTTGAAGTCTCCTTACCAGTCGTTTTCTGGCATTTCCGTTCTCCCAAGCAACACGGGCCTGTAGTAAAGCAACGGTTGTCCTCAAATTTCCGACAAAGCGAGAGAAGAAGATGCAAAGCGAGATGGATTACATCGCAGATTGGGCTAGACGGTGCGTATTCGTGCTGTCGTCGCGGGTATACTGAACGGTTGGCAGGTTCTGCATTCGTTCCCACTACTGCAAGACGACTCCACCAACCCTTGCTTCTCTCAAAGAGCGCCTTATAATACTTCTCAAGAAAAACGACTTCTGTGGCACCTTGGACAATCCTGTCCATCGTAAGAGTCCCGTCTCTTCCAGGGTCCGCGCGAGCTTATTCACAAGCCTCCATCGACTGGTCGTCTCCTTGCCAAAAGCCGGCGATCCTGTTGTAGCCGCACTTTGGAAACATCTCCGAAACGGTGTTGTGCCGTGAAGATATCCAGATGTGAAGAACGGAGCCACCCCGACTGAGACCCATTCGATCCGCCTTCCTCGTTTCTCCACCTTCAATCCATTCTGTGCAAATACAACCGCGACAAAACCATACGAATCCTTACTGGCTCAATGCCATATTCCCATCCCTCCGACCTCTCATCCTTAATGCCATCGTGCGATTACACTGTATCGCTCGCTCACTCCAATTCCATCTCGTCTTTCCGCCCCGCACGCACGTGCCGTCACGCGTGACCTGTGACACGGACCGAGACAAGGATAAAACGCATCCATCGCGCGTGCTGCGGCTCTACCAACCCGCTCTAGAGCTGCAAGCATAGCTGCACATGACACCTATTTAATGTGGCCCGTGGTCTAGGGGTGCAAGGTCTCTGTCGAGCGCGCTTTTGTGGACAAGGGGACTTCGTCGCGAACGTGGTCGCTAAGTCGGAAATGAGCTGTAGCGCGAAAAGAAGGCGCTATGGTCATGGGTTCAGTGTGCTCCAACATAGTTGGGATATTTCTAGAGGCTTTTCGGGGGGGCATAAAGGGCTCGCACTGCTTTTGCTTGCGGCTCACGCGTTTTCGTTGTTCTCTCCACATACGACTAGCGGCACGGCGCCTCTGCCGGGTCTGCCGCCAACTGCATTGCCATGTGCGCTTCTTCATGGATTTATCCTCTCGGGACTTATTCGTGGTCCTTATCCGATTGACCATTGCCTCCTTCACGCTGCTACCTGGGACTGTCAAGTTACCTTACACGCCTTTGAGTGACCATATATCTGCCAATGGAAACCGAACTTTTGCTTTGCCACATAAATGTCGTCCTTGAGTATCTCCCTCGAGATTGTGCTGGATGTCCCTTGGACAATTTCTTCAGAGCTCGTCATTTAGTCACAATCTTGAGGAGAGGCGTTTACGTATCCTCGTCAAGGCGAGCGCGTGAACTCGAGCTTTTCACTGCCGTCTAGGTCAGGATACCGAAACTCGTTGCATTCCTTGAGTAGCAGCTCCGCGAATATCTGCCCAAGGTCTTTCAGAAGGGGCTGACAACTTGAAGCTTGCATACTACTATATACTGAAGAAACGTGGTTATCAGGCTGCGCAAAAGACATTGTATGTGTCCTGCTAGTGGACACTGCTCATCTCGCGCCCAAATATTCGTGGCGTCTCGATTTGGTCTCCATCGTCTCGAGCTCGTGCCACATAAACATCCACTCATCGGCTTTGATTTTATGTTAACAGAGCCATTGAAGCCGAAATTATCATGACATTTTGCTCACTGTCGTCAGCAGGGGATCGGCGCGGCGTGTGCCTTTGCTCGTTGGGGACATGCTTGCGGAGTCGCCTGCTCTAGGTTAGTGTCAGTCGATCGAGGGATTTAAGCAGCGACAATCGTGCAGCAGCAAAGAACGACTAGCACACGAAAGACGAGTGAGGTCAGCCACGCAACAGAATATCTTGTATGTACTCTCTCTGGATGAGATTTGGACGTTATACAGCCACTTCGAGGGATGGTGAATTTGAATCAAAGCGGTGCCTTTGAGAGCCTACCACATATATATATATACTGGCTAGCTCAAGACTTTCCAGAAGCCCCCTTCTTGGGCTGGCGGACATCTTTCACGATGCGGTTGGCAGCCTCTCGATCGTCTCGAGAGCAGGTCTGTAGTGGAGCTCAAGAGGTGCATTCCCTTAGACTTTTTACCCGCGTTCTGGTTCTATTACTCCCTCGACAGCTCATTGACAGCAGTCTACACGAAAATAGCTTTGCTTATTCCTTCTTCATTTCTTGCTTGTATTGCGTAGTAGATAGCGAGCAGGTATCATGATGTGTGTGTATGTCTGTTGTCTGTGTGGATGTGTGCGATAATGTGTGCTATAATGTGTGTGCGATAATGTGTGCGATAATGAAATGAGAACGAAGTAGAGTAAAGGTAGAAGGGTAATGGTAGCTAAAATAAAAAGAGAGAAAAATACTACTAGAAAGAGAGAGCGTTCCGGGCCGATAGCAATATAGTATACACACGTTTTTTGGTTGTTCCGTCCAGAGTAGTAGTCGTAGTGGGTGTCTTCACATTCCCGCGCGCCAGCTCGACGGCGGGCCCCCTCTCCGCTGTCCGCCCACAGCCCCGCCAGGCTTCGACGGGCTGCTCGCCGTCCGTTGCCTCGCCGCGCTCAGGCCCGGCCGCGAATTCGACGCCGGCAAAGCACCCGCAAAGTAGCCCGACTCCTGGCCCGCGCCGGCCGGCGACTGGCCCGGGGTCTTTGCCATCCCCGCAAGGTTCCCGCTGCTCATCGACCTTGACGACGTCGGGGTCTGCTGGTACCGCTCTGTCGATGGCCCGAAAGCTTCTCCGTAAACGCTCCTCGATGAGTTCCAATTTCCGCCCCCGCCGCCACCCATCCCGCCATAGTCGCTTCTTGCCCCGCCGCCCATGAGACTTCTAGCGCCAGAGGGGAACATCTGGCCCTGCCCGTTCTGCGCATTGAGCATCGCGAGGCCCATGCCAAACGGAGACAGTCCGCCGCCGCCCCCACCAGCACCTCCGATTTGGCTGCCCGCATAAACGCTGCCCCTCATCCCCGTCATAGTCGACCCGCGCTCCCACTCCTCGCCCGCAGCCGCCATGGCCTGCTGCGCAACCGCCATCTGGTACGCCTGCTTCGCATATAGCATTGCTTGTTGGTGGGCCGCCATCATGCTCGGGTCGGACGGCGGGGGCATCATGAACTGGCCGGCGTTGGGCATCATGGGGACCTGCATCTGCATCTGCATCTGCATAGGCATTTGCATAGGCATTTGCCTTGGCATCTGCATTTGCGGCCAGCCCCCCATCGGCATTTGCATTCCCATCCCCATCGGCATCTGCATCTGCTGCATCATCGGGTTGGCATTGCGAATCTGGTTAATCGGCAAATCGTCCTCTTCGTCGTCGTCCGGCACGGGCCCGGGGCCATTAACGATATTCCCCAACTATCCCAAATCAGCCACACAGAAACTCAAAAAGATCGACTGGGGACATACCTCAATCGCGGCCTTGGCCTCGCTCCTTCTCCTCTCCCTCCTCCGCTCCTCGTCGTTCAGCACGAACACCCTGCTCTCGTCAAAGTCAAAGCTGACGCTTCTCCTTTGCTTCGCCTTCTGCACATGCGCCGGCAACAGCCCGCTCGCGCCCCCGCTCCAGTCGTCCCTCACTTTCTCCTCCCTCTGACTCGTTCTTGTCCCCCGGGCGGCATACGGCGCGCTTCCGCTCCCACTATTCCCACTACTCATCGCACTGCCAACTTCGCTCCCGTCTCTCGGTGTAAGCGGGCCAAGGGCACCGCTGCTTCTGCTCGAGTTGCCCGTGTCGTTTGTGCCTGTGGAGCTTGCGGGTGAGTTGCCGCGTACACCGCCGTTGCCCGCAAAAGGCCGTTGTGGTGGTCGGCCAAGCAGAGAAGGGGGCGAGGGTGAAGGAGTCGGTTGTGCGATTATGGGTGGTGATGATCTTGAAGAAGGGATTGGTTGGGAGGGGGTTTGGCGGGGGAAGGAAGTAAAGGTAGCGGGTGCGGGTGCGGAACGGAGATTTGAAGTCGTCGCGGGCGTGGTCATAAGCGTGCTGCTCCGTTGCCTCGCGTTCCCAGAAGGAGCTGCAGCAGACTTTGGCAACGCGTTTGTCGAGCTGCTTGAAGTCGAAGTACTTGTTGAGTTGGCTGTCGAAGAAGCAGCAGAAGTCGAAGTCGAGGGGATCAGGGTGCTGCTCCTCTGCCTTCCTCCAGTTGTAGACGCAGACCCCAAATCCACAGAGCGGTTGGCTGGCCTGCTCGTAACGCTGAAGCCAGGCAAAGGCGACCTTTGCTTGATCACAATTGGCACAATGTTGCCTTCATGCTCCTTGTCCTTCTCCGCCGCATTCTTGACTGACTGCGTCAGCGGCGCAGCCTCCTCGCCCAGCAAGAATGCTAGCCCACCACCACCAAGCATGTCAGCCAAGTCCCGCCCCAAAGCCCCATCATCGGCTTCCCCGCTCTTACTCCCCGCATCGTCCAGCCAAGTCGGAGAGCGACCCGAAGCAGACACTATATCGCTGGACGAGCGCCGATGGAAAGCCTTCCTTGCAGTCACACTCGAGAACGAGCTCGGCGGCGAGCCCGCATTGGGCGGCGCAAGTGTCGGTCTTGTGCTCGTGCTCGCCAACGACGACTGCGAGGTCGATCCGGAAGCACTCGTGGCAGAAACAGCCTTCAACCGGTCCACCAGCCCCTCCCGTTTATCCTGCCCACCCAAGCTGACGCTCGCCACAGACCCGCCGGTCTCCTTCCTAATCGGGCTCCGCCTCGGCGCGGCGGCGGCCTTGACAGTTACCGGCGGCGGCGTCTCCCGCACCGGCGACCCCGGCGGGCTAGGAAACTGCACAAATCCACCCCTTCCGCTGCTTGGTGGCGGCGGTGACCTGCTGGTCAACACGGGGCTTGGGAGTTGTGAGCTTGAGCTGGCTTTCGAGCTCACAGCAAGCATGCCCGCTCCGGTAAACCCATCGTCGGTCTTCTTCTGGCCGGCGAGGACCGGCCGCGAGCCGGTGACCTCGTTTATGTCGATTAGAGGCTTTGGCTTCAGATTGGGGTTGCTCCCGTTTGAGGCCATTGACAACGACGAGCCTGGGCGGCGCGGCGCAACAAGGGTCGCTAACGGCGCATCGTCGTCAGAAGACTCTTCGCTTGTGGATTCGTCTGAGTCAGAATCATCAGGATTTGTCGGCCGACGGGTGTGTGGAGAAGGATTAGGAACGGAGGTCGCTTTGGGTGGGGGCGCTGGTTTGGCGGGAAGGAGAGAGGGCGGGCGTAGGAGGTGTTTGTCCCCGCAGGTTTTGCGTTGAGCGGCTATTGGCCACGGAAAATGGAGGTTGGCCGCGAGGTGGTCGTTGCCCGGGCAGACTTGGCTCTTGCGTTAGCGAAAGCCGTTTGGCTATTCGGCAGAAGAGAAGCATCGTGCCGGATGGCGGTATCCGTTAATGGTGTTTGGGCAATATCGAAACGTGAAGGTGGAGTACGAAAAGGAAGTCCAATGTAAAAGCGCGATGGAGGTAGCATTGAGTAGAGCAGGGAGGTAGACAACACGTTGTGAGAAACAGAGTAAGGAGACCGCAAGGAAAGAAGAGGGGATCGAAAGTCGAAAAATAAGTTGAAGGCGAAGGCGTAATATAGAGTAGGTGGGGGGAAATGGGAGGAAATATCGAAACGCGGATCGAGTAAGAGGGATATGTGGGGGAGGCAATGTCGAACTCAAAATGTGATATAGAGTAGGGGAGAGAAGGTAAAAATGTCGCGGAGTAAGTCGAATGTCGAGAGTAAAGTGTAATATGAAGGGGAAGAGGAGAAAAGACTCAAAGTCAGCAAAAGGCGAAAAGTACAAGGAGAGAGAGAACACGCACAAGCAACATTGCCACCACTCGCGCTGGCCACGAGGTTTCCGGTACTCCCACCCATCTTCTTTTCCGTGCTCCCACTCTGCCCATAAACACCCAACGAAGACTGCGATCTGGCAGTCCCAAGCCCGCGCTGTTGCTGCTGCTGCTGCCGCGAAGGCCGTGGTTTACGCTGGTCATCGCTGGAGTCTCCTGGAGATGATTCGTCCTCATCTTCATCAGAATCCCACTGATTTCCTTGCGCATTTGGCGCCCTTTGATGAACAGTCGTATACGGCTGCGGCTTCGTCGTTGGGGAAGGGACCGGTGGAGAAGACGTCTTCTTGGCAGGCTTTTGAACGGGAGTCGGCGTAGGTCGTTGTGTCGATTGCGGTTGTCGACCATATGGGCCCGGACTTGGCGCTCTCGCACTACTCTCGCCCAGAACAGGACTCCCAGCAGCGCTTCTCCTCGCCTGTACTTCTCGGAAGGCCGCAACGCTAATGCGCGAGCTACTCGCACTAGCATCGCTGCCTCCCCGCGGTCGCGGTCGGGCAGGAGGTAGATGCTCGTGCTCATAAGCACTCCCCAGCCCGCTAGCCTGTCCTTCTCGCTCGATCTGCTGACTCAAGCTCGTCAGATTCGTTGCCGTAAGCTGGTTCTTCCCAGCAGGCTCCTCGCGGACATGTCGGAAGGCTCGAAGATTGAAGTCGGAGGGTTTGGCGGGTGAAGGGGGTAATGGCTCGACCTCCTTGTCCTTTCCCCTCGCCCAAAACGCAAACTTGCGCCCGCTTTTCGCGCCCGTTTTGCTCGTCTTCCCTGACGCGGCTGTGAGACCAGAAGCAGTACTTCTTGTCGGGCTGATTTGGGGAGCAAGAGGTGATAGAGAATATTGGCGGTCTCTATCACGCGTTCGGGAGGGCGTTTGGTGAGCGTAAGGAGAGGCACCAGCAGTGGTTACCGGAGGGGGAAGACTTCGGGTAGAAGATGTGTAGAGGTTCTGAGGTGGGCGGAGGGAGTTGGGGGAGGTTGATGCGGAAGCTGAGGAGGGCGGTATATCGGACGACGTGCTCAGTCGTCCGAGATAGGCGGGTCGCGGGGGGGCCTCAAAAGGCTCGCCAGTGTCGACAGCCAATAAAGGAGTCGCGCTTCGTTTACGCCCAAAAAAGCCCAGCCCGCGTTTGTCCTTCTGGGGCTCGCCCGCATATGCCAAGCTTCTGCCGTTTGGAGACGACGGGCCTGGAGCGAATGAAACGTATTCGCTTGTAGGAGATGGCTGGGAAGACGGGGGAGGGGAGAGGTTGCTGCCGAGCTGGACACTACTGATGCTTGCCGAGTGGGAATATGAGCTGCAACAGAGCATTAGCATGGCAGGGAAGGGGGCAAAAGAAGGGAAAGAGGCAGGACACGCACGCGGAGGGAGAGAGGTCGCTTGGGCTTTTGGATTTGCTGGTGGCGCCACTTCCATTAGAGTTTCGCGCGAAGAGACCACCTAGAAGTGGCATTTCTGACGCGCTAGACTAGTCAGGGGTCGCTGTAGATACAGGTTAGCCTGCCGGACAAGGAAGTGCCGATGGACACACCTGGAGGTGGAGGGGAGGGAAAACGGGTTCGGAAGGCCGGGGAGATGGCTTGGCGCTGGCAAAACGCTTTAAGGAAAGGAACTCGGAGGACGTTCTGGACAACCTAAGGAGGACAAATGAGCGTGGGGGCAGAAGGGAAGGAATGAGGATGGAATTTGACAACGCACCGATCGACCGAAAGTGTCAAGGCGCTGTCTCGTCGTCGTTGTCCTCGCTGGCAACCTCGCTGGCAACGGGTCGCGAAGCGGAAAAGCTGCCGGTGGTGAGTGCAATGAAGAAGGCCTGGCCAGCGGGAGCTTCGAAGACGTACTGGTTACGGCGACACGAGTCGGCCGCGTGGTCGGGAAGGGGATGTAATGCGGCTGCGTCTGCTGTCGGAGGGGGAGAAAGAGAGGCAGAACGCAGAAAGCGCCCACGACCGGGCAATGACGATGAGAGCACAAGGGCAAGGTCACCTTGTAGATTTTCTCAGTCTAGATCTGCGTGGGTGGCAGCCATTCGTGACCATTCATCATGACATCATTGACACCCTTCACTCTTTCCACAGACCTTTCTGCGCGCTCCGCGCCCATGCGCGCTGGGTTCTATTCCAGGGACTGGATGAAGTTGGCGGTATCGGCGCCAAACCTATGCAAGCGCTCGACTCGGCCCGCTTTAGCCCTTGCTCTCAAAACTATCGTCGTTTTCACCATCGACGTAAAAATGACGGTCCCTGGCATCAAGATATGTGGGACCTAAGGCCATAAGAACATAACATAACAGATATGACGCAGTTTCATCCGTCGCATGGTGGGCCATTGGTGGCGAGGTTCTTTTCAGTCTTGCCAAGCCCTCACTGGCAGTACTTCCTTCACGACCACCAATCGGCAAGGCGATCTGCATTGACGAAGGTCGACCTTACTTATTAGTCTGCTATCGCCCCAGTCTGTCCAAGACGCCACCCATGCAGGACATTTCGACGCGTCAAACCCATCCTGCTTCCCTTCGCCGTCAAGCGCCAGAGGAGCCTCCCTATCTCCTGTCTATCCGACTCTATCAACGCGCTGCTCATAGTAAATTATCTCGGAAGCAAGATGCTCGGCCGACAACACTACGACGACAACCTTGATTATACGGGGCTTTTTCGCTCACTCCGTGTCTAGACCGTCAAGGCACCAGTGTGGCGCTGCTTTCAAGCACGGAAAGAATACCAATAGGCACATCCTATATTTACCCTGGCGGGAACTTGTCCGGCCCGCCGTCAAGTAACGAAGTCAAGCAATATTAATCTCGTCGAATAATTATAAACATTACCCGACTCTTATGTCAAGCCAGTTTCAGCATCAAGCTTCCACCGCGTCCCGTTTCTCTGTGGGACACCCAGACTATATCATCACAGGCCTGCGCGAATGTGGCCCCCGACATAGGGAGGGACATATGTAGAGCAAATTTTGGCGCTAGAACAACACAAGCAGTCTCGACCACACGTTCAATTAAAGCCACAACATGCTGACGCTCCCAAGTTCGGGTCCTTGAAACTTTGCTTCCTGCACGAATCGCCTACACGACCACACACTCGTTCAGCACGCGCTGGGTATACTCGTTGATCAACCCGTGCGTCTGCATGGACGGATGACCCGCTGCAAAAGAGGACTTGTGAGCCTTTTCTGCATCGGTTTAACAGAAAGCGAGGACAACTCACGAATATAGAAAACACTCCTGTCTGGATCCACACATCCGCCGACGATTGTGTTCGCGCTCACCAAACACGTTGCGTTGCCCGTGTACCCAAAGTCTGCCGGCGCAGTGGAGATAGCAGCGAAAAGGATGTTCAGGTCGACAAACGCGAAGTTGGTACCATTCGTGCTGTGGGCGGAGCGGAGGTAGTCGAAGATCGCGGTTTGGAGGAGGTCCGTTTCCGGATGGGACGTGTACATCTGATTATTGGCCTCAGTGGGGAGTGTGATTACTGGTAGGAGGCCTACACCGTGAATGAGGATGTTCCGCGCCCCATTGCTTTGGAGTTCCGCCAGTTTCGTTGTCTATGGTCTGGTTAGTTTGAGAATGACGCGGAAAACAAGACTGACATAAGTATTGATTGCCACATTGATATCTCCTCCCGCTAAGAAAAACCGAGGATCGGCCAGTAGACGCGGTATATCAGGCGAGCTCACCGATCTTATATTGGCCATCATCGCTGTCCACTCAGCAAATAAGCTCTGGAAGAACTTGAAGAACGCACTTTATACCAAATGCAACCGCATACATCGTTGACGCGGGCGATAGCGCATCCAAGAAATTCCCTTGCAAGAGGAATAACTTGGTTTGCGAAACGAAATCCGAGCGCTGGATTGCCGTCTTGTTCAGCGGCGTTGTCGTATTATAAGCGAAATTGTCGATAACTGCACCGCCCCAGGCATACTGAATATACGGTGAGAAGCCATCCATGGCAGAAGAATAATGCGCACATCGAGCAGCTTTGCGTTGAGGTCCATGGCCAGTCGCTCGTTCCACAGAAAGCCGTTGCTTGCTCGACGATTTTGGGAGGTCCGAGAACCAGCGGAGGGCAATGGTGGGTGAAGAATCGGCGGGAATGGTATCGTTCCATTCGCTAGGGGACGTTTGGTCAGCGACTATGGATCCAAAGCTCAACGTTGGAACACACAGCCCGTCGAAGTCCATGAATCTCCAAAGGTAACGACAGTCCTGTCGAAGTATCGGTTTGAGCGTGAGCAGCAAGAACAACGTACCGGATGGCGTTGAGGTCGATACCCGTATTGAGCTCAGCAAACGTGCTGGAATTTAGGGAGCCGCAGGACGGGAAGGTGGCCAACTTCAAAGGCGATGTCGCGTTGACGAGTACAGGAAACGCTGCCAGATTCTGTCCGTCTGCAGGAGCAAGAACGCGGAAGAGAGCCATTGTAGCCAGGACAAAGAGATTCATGCGCGGTTTTGAGATGAAAGCGGTATGGAGAGCGCGTGAAACGAGGGCCTGGGTTATATCTGGCGAAACTTGAAGTCGGTGACGACACCAGCAACCATCGTCAACTGACCACCCAGCGGACCGGCGGGAGTGGCTGGGCCGTTAGGTGGCATATTGAAGAGTCCAGAGTGAAGAAAGATAGCCCAGCAGTTGTGTCATCGCAGTCTAGAAACAAGTTTCGAGGGGATTAGTCATCACTGCAGATCCATCAGGAAATTTGCAGTGGGCTGATTTGAGATCGCCAGTCCTGACCAGCAGTCCCATCACTGGTAGTGCTGGCCAGTGTGTCGCCCGCTGGTGAGCTTCTGGCCATAGCTGACTGGGCACTCACCGCCGCGTGCGACTCAAGCCATTACCTACCAGTTGAATCCTCGTCTGGTGTGTATCTGTCAAGCCCATGCCAAGTTTCCTGCCCGAAGGGTCATGGTCTGTCCATATCGACATCATTTGGTTATGGTACTCACTGTCGATGGCTCACTTTCTAGGCGGGATGAACGGGAAATAATCAATGTGGATTATATTACATAGAAAATACAGAATATATTATGGGCCTGCTGCCTGTTCAGTGTCGCCCTGTTCTTCTTGCTGATCTTCCTCCTCCTCCATACGTTGCTGCCATAGACTTTGGGTAGTGGTGATTGCGGTCTCGTAAGCAGTTGCTGCTGCACCGTCCGCTGTCGCTGTTTTCCTAAAGTCACCGGTGTTAATAGACTGTCAGAAACTTGAATATAGTCGATCCACGTACTTGTCCCACCATGCTTGAAGCTCTCCAACACGCTTTGCTGCCTTGGAACTCGGAATATTGTCCTCAAAGTAGTCGACGAAGAAGTTGTACATGTGGTCGAGATCGACACCATTGAACTTGCGACGCCATTGGCTTACATCAGAGAGCGCAAAATAAACCTGTAGATGGTCAATATCAGATATATGAGAGAGAGGTTGCGCACAAGAACAGCAGTATATGCAATAGTGCGAGGGGGCACATGGCCATCGAAGCCAAGGATTTCAGCCACTGGCGGGCGCTTGGAAGTTGCCTCCTGGGCGTCCTTGCAACGAGTCGGGGCCGTATTTTCATCTTGATCACTAGAAGCCATGAAGATAGCTAGCCATGCCTGAAGCACAATTGTGAAATAGAGAAAGCCCGAACAGGATAGACATACCTTGACAAGAAGTGGGCTCTTGAGAAACCCCTCCTCTACCTTCTTCACATTTCCATGGTAGTTGGCGTAGAAGACGCGAAAGAAATAGTTCGGGGCCAGGCCAAGTTTGTTATCGCGAAGGTCACGTCGTATGCTGGTGGTGAGTGTCAGACAGAGAAAATACTCGTCACATGTCACTCACCTTTCTTCGCTCCAGTCATGGTTAATGGATGTGCAAAGGCCACCAGTAACATCGTGAGCTAAGCCCCGACCACTCCGCGTCGTTGGATTCAGTATGGGCGCACGACCAATAACTTCAACTTCACGGTCATTGCGTTGCTCGAAAGTATTTGGGGTATGGTCAAATTTGCGCAAGGTAGAACTTTGGCGGCTGAGATCCATATTGATGTGCTCGGCGACCAGTCTGGTAATCGTTCGAACGTTCTCGCTGCGCGCGTCATTCGCGCCTTTCTGAAGCTGCGATTCACATCAGCGGAGGTCAAGTATCAACTGCAATTCAAACCAAGGCAAAGAACGCCTTCGCTCCTGTGCTGCCGTCAATCCTCTTGTCAATACCGGGCACCAACCGCGCTATTTGCAGGTATCCTTCATAGATTCTTTCGCCTCTACATCCTAGGTGAGTAGTTATTCTGGATAGGAAAATATTGGCTTACTTCCGTTTATCAGTTAGTATGTTCTGCTCTTCGACGGTGAGATTTTTGGTAAGACGGTCGTATCCCAGGTCGCTGTATGGATTCTTTGCGTAGGCAAGGGCATCGACGATGTACAGCTGCAGTGGGTCGAATAGCACCGCTGTTTTCCGAATACCGCGACCCAAACGGGAGATGGAGTCCTCTCTGAACGGAGTAGTGAGTGTCAAGCTCTTATTTATGCTGTCGACTTACTTCTTGTTGACAGACACGTTGGATGAGTGCTCCCGTGACCGCGAGCGTGGGCGAAGAGGCTGCCGACGACTGGTATCTCGGTAATGGGGGGAACGTGACCGTGAGGAGCGCGTCCGGCGCGAGCGCGAATATGACCGCTGACGGTGACGGGACGTTGGGGAACGCGATGAACGCGATGAGTAGTCACGGTGGTGATATGGGGAAGACCATGAGGGAGGCGAGGAGGAGGGTGGAAGGGTAGACGAGGAACGACGCTCAATACTGCGTCCCCGGTTGGACATGGTTTTTCAATGGTGGTCGGAGGAAGGAAGGAAGGGTAAGCAATCAAATATGGGTCACTGCTTTTATACTGAGTCCAAGCAATCAACAGGTAGTCACGATTTAAAACGCGACGCGCGGTGGCGATTTGCATGATCGTATTCAGATTCTAATTTGATTTTTCTTCCTGTAACTCTTGTGACCTCCGTCGACCTCTACCGAAATTGTCCACTGGTAATGCGCTGGGAACCAGCTCAAACGCTGTGGCGGCCCGGGGTCCATCTTGGTCTTATCGTCCTTCTAATCATGGTCTTATGCCGAGGAGGATGTGGCACTAACCCAAAAGATGAATCAGCACAAACCCGACACCACAAAATCTGCCCCGGCTACCAGGAGTACATCGCGCGGATGGGCCAGGCATTTAGACAAGACCTATCGGCTGGCTCATCATCATCCTCGGCTCCCCCACCACTTGGATTTGCTGCTCGTAAACGGGTCAGCACCATCACGGCTTCAATACGGTCGAATGAAAAACGACCTCAAACTCTTGCTATCCGAAAGCTCCGCCTTCTGGGACCACACAAACCTGCAAACCTGCCTTCAGCAATGGTAGATCTTGTGCTTGTTTCCTCAATCTAATCTCACTCTCATGACAGATTCAAACACTATCGCAAGCGAACGACAACGGTCTCAGCACAGACACCATGCTGGTTGACGATGAGCCACTGCAATTGAGCTCGTTGGAACCTGTCCAACATCATAGTCTTGCCCAGGCGCCGAGCGGCGAGCAACCAGACTCTTCTGAATCCGCGCAGACTGGAGTTGAGTCCAACGTTGAGTATGCAGTCCCACCACCTCCCAGGCCCACAATTCGAATTCGGATTCCTGCGCGCCTACGAGAGCTACTCCCCGAACGACCTACAATGCAACCCGCTGGTCCAGCAAGTCCCCCCTCCTATGATTTGCCTTCAGTTCGGCTGATTGTTCGTGATACGTTCAAAACGACAATGAATATATTCAACCTCTGGCGGTCCTATCTTCATCGACCAACTCACGACCCCGATTCCTTGCTCTCGGCAGATGACCTCTCTGATCCGCACCAACCCGAATCACCTTCGTTACCTTCTCCCATTCCTGATACCGCAATTCCCGCAACATCGAATCGGAGTGTCTCACTATTGATGGCGTGGCAAAACAACGGCCATACCACGAAATCCGCAAGTCAGCTGAAAACACTCGTACACGATGTACTGAGGCACCCTGACTTCGATGTCAGAGATCTTCCCAAGAACTTTGACCCCGCTCGTGCTGAGAAACAAGCGGACAAAGTTGCAGAGCAGGCCTTTCCATGGGTGAAAGATTTCAAGCACGAGACCATCGAGATTGAGGTCCCATCGGGCTTGAAGGATGTACCCCCCAAGACCTTCGCAATCCCAGGTCTCCAATACCGCAGCTTGGTTTCGGTTATCACTGCCGCCTTTAAAAGTCCCCTCGCCCTTCGATTCCATCTGTCACCATTTAAGCTGTTCCATCGTGTGCACGGAACAACAGACGACATTCGGGTTTACAGTGAATTATACAACTCCGAGGTCTTCTTGGCGGAACACGACAATGTTCGCGTTCGTGGGGAGTTGCCACCAGATGGCCAAGACTGCAAACTGGAGAGAGTTGTTGCGGCATTGATGTTTTGGTCCGACTCGACTCATCTGGCGAATTTTGGTATGGCGAAGCTGTGGCCTATATACATGCTATTTGGAAATTTGTCAAAATATATCCGCGACAAGCCCCAGTCTGGCGCTGAACACCATATTGCGTTCATTCCCTCGGTAAGCCGGCTTCACGAAGCTTGACTATAACTGATAATAATATGACACTAGCTTCCCGATTTCGTTCATGACACACTCAAGGATTGGCACCCAAAGTGGAGAACGCAGAAGAGGCACATTCTCGCGCATTGCAAACGGGAGTTAATGCATGCAGTGTGGAGATTTCTTCTCGACGACGAATTTCTCCATGCATATCGCTATGGCATTGTAATAGTTTGTGCTGACGGCAAGGCCCGTCGTGTATACCCACGAATCTTTACCTACTCAGCGGACTATCCAGAAAAGTACGTGTAGTTAAGGTTGTGACACAATGTATTAACCACAACTTTCACCCAGAGTACTTCTTGCAACAGTCCGGGACGGCGGCCTGTGTCCCTGCCCTCGATGTCTAGTCACCAAGAAGGAAATCCATATCATGGGCTTTGTGCGCGATATCAAGTCCCGCATGTCCAACGCGCGCCAATATCTCTTCGACAAGGTCAAATCTGCGCGAGATTTCATCTACAATCTTGGTCTCAGCATTACTTCCGACAAGGTGGAGGATTTGCTCAAAGAGACCTCGTCTGTGCCCACGATTGTAAGTTTGAATGTGCTTGTTCAAGTTGTTGTCTCAAGCACCCCAGAATGCATTTCTCGACCGTCTTGGACAAGACTTTGATCTTCATCGCATGCTTGTCGTTGACTTTATGCATGAATTTGAGCTCGGAGTTTGGAAGAACTTCTTTATCCATTTAATCCGCCTTCTCTACGCGCTACCAGACGGTGTCAACAAAGTTTCTGAGCTTGACCGCCGGTATGGTTTCAGCAGAACCTCTGAACACCAATGACTTACCTTCTGCTCTAGTTATCGGCAGACTCCGACCTTTGGCGTAGACACAATCCGTCGATTCGCAAACAATGCCTCCGAGATGAAGAAGCTCGGGGCTCGAGACTTTGAAGACCTCTTGCAGTGTGCAATACCGGCTTTCAATGGACTATTCCCCGAGCCCCATAACAAGCGTCTACTTCGACTTCTATTTCGATTGGCTGAATGGCATTCTTTTGCAAAACTTCGGATGCACACAGAGCCCACCATCGAGCATCTGCGACGGTTGACATCGGAGATGGGTCGACTGATGAGGGAATTCCGGTTGACTACATGCAACGACTTGGTGGCTTATGAGCTCCCCAAAGAAGTTGCTGCGCGAAGTCGGACTGCAACTAAGAAGGCTGCAAAATCTGCGGCAGCCACTGGTGACTCCACACTGGCACCACCAGATGCACAACCGCAGGCTCGGACGACCAAGAAAGTCAAGACGCTCAGTCTCAGCACGTATAAATGGCACGCGATGGGAGACTACCCCGGTACAATCCCGCTATTCGGCCCAACAGATATATATTCAACGCGATATGTGAGTTACTCGCGACTGCGCTTGAAACGATAATTGTTAAAATGTCTCCAAGGGCGAGGCGCTGCATCGACAGCTCAAGCGCCTATATGCAGTCACAAACAAGCGTGACCATACAGAGCAAGTTGCTAAACGCCTTGTGCGCTTGCAGCGTACTCGGCTTAACTCGACAATCAAGAATGACCAACGCCGCCACTTTACTTTGACCACCAGTCGAAGACGCTGCAACATTGACCTCGCATATGAGGATCCATATGGCGCCGGCCCAACAGCCATTCACTACGCAATATCTGATGTACGACGCAAGCCGGACGATGTCTTGGAATTCTCGAGCCCACACAAACGGGACCCAGCGTTGACGGTGAGTAACAAAAGATCAATTCGATGTCCGACTCAAAACCACAAGAACTTTGTGCCCAAACTAAAAGACCATCTACTTGGGCGACTGCTTCAGCGGGACTTCGACGGGGATGACCACGACGACTACACTGATGAAGATCGCCGCTCACTCATTATTCACGACAACAAAATCTATTCAACCCAGCTCCTCAGAATCAATTACACGACATACGATGTTCGGCGCGCTCAAGACGTCATCAACGCGCGCGTCCATCCATTTGTTATGGTCCGCTCAGCCACTCCCGACACACACCCATACTGTAGTAATTAGACCATAAGTTCATTAATTTTGAATTTTTTCATACCCGAGAGGGCCGAAAATATTTCTTTTGATTTTAGGTGAATTTTAACACTATGTTTTTTTGGCCCGATTACGCATTACGCGAACTTATGGTCTAATTACTACAGTACTGGTATGCTCAGGTCCTTCGTATATTCAATGCGACTGTCTTCCGGATGGAGAAGTCGGGTGCTTTCTCGCGGGCAACTCGGATGGAGTTTTTATGGGTACGATGGATGGGAGATCAGCCAGGCTATCGGTCGAGCATCAAACAGGCGCGATTGCCCAAGGTCGGCTTTGTTCCCGACACAGATGCATACGCGTTTGGATTTCTGGATCCAGACCAGGTTATCCGCGCTGCACATTTGATACCTGACTTTCAAAGTGGACAGACCAGCTTTTTACTCGACACTCTAGAGCCAACGCTGGCTCGTATCGGGGACGAAATTGCGGACTATCAGTCCTTTTATGTGAACATGTATGTATGTTCATCTCATTGATTCTCGGCGCTCATAACATATTCACTAGCTTTCCGGACCGAGATATGATTATGCGTTATATCGGAGGGGGTATTGGTCATGTCGACACTGGAGCACTCGATGGGAAGGATATTGAAGAGCAAAAGGATGACGATGTCGGCTTGGACCAACTTGCGGACGATGCATCTGACTCGGAGTCAGTCTTAGGTTCGGAAAACAGCCTTTGGGGCAGCGACGATGACCGCGATGATGAAGGCAGCGACGATGACGAAGGAGGGTTCTCAGATATACAAGACAATGAGGGAGAGGCAATGGACTATGGGTCAGATTAATGCATGTAGCTCAAGTTAATACATTGCAGTGTAGGTACACGAGTCAGCAAATCACCCGCAGATCTGTAGCCTGGCACGACCGTGCCAGGACACAAGCCGTCGGGTCCCTCGCCGACCATCACCCAACAAGCTGATCTTCTGCTGGTGATGCAATGGCGAGCGCTGGTATAGTCGCTACCAGCTGTCTGAGGCTGGTCAGCGTGACCAGCCGAAATCAGCCCGCTGCAAATTTCCTGATGTCTCTTCTTCTCCGCGATGTCCTTCTCCCCGCTGATTCACGGTTATCCTCAAACGCTCCCCGCTCGTGTCTGGTCAGTCGTTGTATCAGCAGATACTCTTTTCCACGTTGACAGACCTATTCGTAGCCTCGACAATGTGGTCATTTTGACGATGCAGTCATGGTCGTGAAATCGCCATAAAGCAAAGCAGTTGTTAGAGATGTCCTACGAAAGGGGCTCAGGTGCGTCTCCTCGCTTACTTCCTTCTGATTTGTCGTTCACCCTACTTATTTTGCATCTCTACAGGCTACAAAAAGAGCTCGCTCATTCAAATCTGCATCGATATCGTTTCCATACCGCTAAACTTTCAAGTTGGTTGTCTGGCGAGGGCGGAACGATAGGATACCGTTGACGACAGATGATTGTTTTCACTCGGGCCTTTGCAACTCGCTGGAGAGTGGTGCGGTTCGGTCGCGGATGTGGCAAGCTGGAAGATGCGGGAGTTGGCAGGGTGTCATTCGTGCGTCGTATTCACCTCGGCCATCGTTCCGTCCTGACTGGCTTTCGAAGCATCGACAACACACCGTCGACAGACGCGTACGCTTCGTTCCCTCAAGGTGGCCACTTGACAAAAATGCTGTTTGGTTACCGCAAGGTTTCCGAGAGCCTTGGCCCTTATTTCGTTGCGCAGTCCCAAGGTGTATCGTGGGCAAGAGAGCCTGTTGAATAGACGCATCCGCGGAGCAAATTAAACGAGTCATTTCCCTCTACGACTGACTGCTGGTGTTTTTCCGTATCGTCCGCGACCATCTCAAAACTGTGTCTTTGCAGTATCGTTGAGGAAATTCAGATGCTCTCCCCCCCACATGAACTTCCAATGCCTATTTGCATCGCCGACCTCTCTTTCGATGACCGGCATTGACTGGATGTCGCTGGGATGATAACATCTTTCGCCGTCAATCGCGCTAGAACCACCGTATCCACCGTCAATGATCACGATGGGAGGGATGTCAGCTTGCGAGTGAGATGGTACAGCCAAAACTCAAGATATAGGTCAGCCGCTGCAGCGCCACGCAGTAGCGCATTCCCTATTTCCTCTTGCCATGGTGCTCGTCCGCGATGAACATGGAGGAGCGTCTCTCTCCGAGTCGCCAATGCCGACCGAAGTAATGCAGCAGGCTACAACACTTTGTCCAACCCGCGACAACTTGGGAAACAATCTCACTGAAAGCCGTTATATAGCAGGATCTCTTACAATCGCATGCGCTTACAAACCCCCCGGGGCGTTGTGCCTGTACCTCATCGTTTCGCCGTCATCCATCGAGTTGGAGAATCCGTCGTCTTCATTTTGCGCCGGAGCATTTGAAATAACTAGCACTGCTGCGTACGTTTCATTTTCTTCTCCAAGCTGTGTCGTTCGCCCTAACACGTGTGGTAGGAAACACTCCATGCATACCACTAGGCCCGGCGTCGCACCTCGCCTAACCACAAAGCACTCAACTCACCCATCTTCGGTGGACACCGAGAACCCAGTTGCAGCGGCAACGGGTCTTGGTGACCCACCAACTCTGTCACCTAGACGGGCCGCGATATCTATTTGACGATGATGTCCGAAGACTAACGATGTTCTCGCCCTCAGCTTTGCTGATTTGAAGCCGCCATCTGCTCATCTTTCACGGGGCACTATCGCCGGGTTCATCGCTGGCTCACTACTTCTCCTTCTTGGGCTGATGTATGCGTTCGGCCTGCTTCGGCGGCGTTTTCGTGCACAAAAGAAAACCCGGACTCAAACGCCCACGCCCTTTACCGGTGTCTCGTCGCATTATGGCGATGCTTCACTTGCTGGGCCCGCATTTATAGTCAAGCGCGAGCGTGGGGCGGTGCTCAAGAGTCAAGGAGTTGGAAGCAATGGAGGGCCGGGATACTAGTGGCAATGGTCAAGCCGAAAACAACCTGCTTCGAGACCGGGTCAGGGAGTTGGAGGCGGCGCTGCTCTATCGGGGGACGGAGTGGGAGATGGATGCAGAGCCACCTCGGTACACAGCTGCTTAACATTCTGAAGGCTTTTCATTGTCGTTTTCAATCCAGGGATATACATATTTACTTGCGCCAATTATATTTATGTAACTACTCTTAAAAATGTCGGTCTCTTGGTTTATAACCCGATGAGGATGGCATGAGGGAGGTTAGCGACTACATGCCAGTAGTACATGGAGCGTGAACAATGATGAGTTCTGTTCTTGACGCCCTCGTTCCTCTCGGATCGGCAACCGAGCCCAGCAACCCAGGTTCCAATTCTCTGCACTCCGTCGATAGCTTCACCCATTGAAAGCCTCAGTCTCAGGAGTTTAAAACGCACAAAAATAGCTCCTCCGTGGTCCTTCCCACTTAAGCTTGTGCATCTGACTGGAGAGTTTAGACTGGCGAGGGCGAAGAAGTTGTGCTGGTTGTGGCGACCCGAGCGGTGCGGGTGCTGAAAGGCATATCAGGAGAACCAGAGTGGATTTTCGACAACAACAGTGGCAAAATTCTATCTCGCGGCCGCCCACACGACGAAGTCCAGTTCCGAGCAAAAGTGCGTCCAAGGAAGGGCTTAGACCCATTTACCCTGGGCGACACTAATTGTGGACATTGTATACTTTTCAAGGAAGCGCGAGATCGGGTTGATAGGGCCACAAGATAGGACATGGAAGAGTATTATCGTCGTGTCGGATGGTGTGACGATGTCACGCGTGACGGCACATGGAAGGAAATGGAAAAAAGGCGCCAGCGAGGACGATAGGAAGGGGCTGTCGGGCCTGAGGATATGGATGTGCGGTTGGACAACATATGGAAGGAGCGTGGAAGGAATGTTGACTGTGCTGGATGTTTTGAGGTATTCCGTGTTTTAGAGTGAAAAGGTAACAGCGAAGACTTCATTCGAGCATGTATCGCGCGGTTGCGGCTGCTCTCCGTGGTGCAGCGACTTCAGAATGAATTCAACTGCATGAAGGAGGTGCAAATGAACAGATTTCTCGGTCACTGGATTGCGATCTGACGACAAGCCATGTGGAGTAAGGGCAGCGGAGAAAAGGACAATAAAATTGTCAATAGTAGCGAAAACAAAAGTAAAATGTCCTTGAACCGAGTCAGTAAGGATAGCCTGGAATGTCATTGAAGCTCTTCACCCGCGCGAGAATCCCGTCTCTTCTGTTCCGCCCCTCATCTCCCATATTCCCCTTAAAAGTCCCGGAGCCCTACACGAGCATAACCACGGAGCGGATGTAGAGCAGGGTCCCAAAACCGAGTCGAGCGAAGGGAGAACCGGTGAGCGAGATAGCTCATCGAGCTCTTGATTCAACGGTGCTGCCAACACGGTCGCAGCCCTTGTTTGAAAGCAACAATGCAAACTACACGGACTTGAACGAGTTGGTGTATAGTCTGCGGTTGGGTGCGGACGGCGGAGCAACAGAATGAGGAGGGAAACGCGTGGAGCCTAGGGAGACAAGCTGTAAACGTGGTTAACCGTTGGACGAAAGCGAATGCGCTGGATAACACACCCATTGAGCTCTATTCCCTCTTCATCTCTTGCTTCATTGTATGCGCCTCAATCGGAAAGGCATCTCGAGGGACATATCTGTCTCGCATTTTGGTAGAAACAGAGACGACCTAACGAGGTTAGAATAGAAAAGCCGCCGAGAGGACCCGTCACGCACAATGGATAGCGCAGCTTAATGATATAGATTCTAGTAGTCGGGATGGTAGGAGGAGACAGAGAGGGATGTGTGTTTGCAGTTTTAGTGTTGTTGGACTGTGGCGAAGGTGTTCAGCACCAAGATGAATCGAAGAGCCTAATAACGCACCTTGTTTCAGTCTAACTTCTGGTTCCTTTCTCCCACTCTCGCGCGTTCTCAGTAGCTCCATCCAGTCGAGCTGGCGGAAGCTCATCGAGTTCCAAGTGGCCTGGGATGAAACGATGGCTGAAGAGTAGAGAGTCCACGCAAGTCAGCCAAAGCTGCATTTGCGACAAGGAGAAGCCCCATACTGAGGATTGACGAGTCGTGTAGGCCCGAGGAGGTCGAATACGTGAGATTGACGCAGAACGAGGCGGTCGTCGTGGTCAAAAAGAGAAAGAGACACGGTGTCACACGTCTCTTTCTCTTGCGCAAGCAGAGTCCGGGATACTCACCGGGGCCTCCGGCAGCAATGGGGAGTTGTTGCGCCGCGTCAAGATGGTCAAGCTCATGGATGGCGGCTGCCCAGTCGCATTCTTACCAAGCTGGAAGCCACGGCGAACGACACGCTGCTTTAGCTGTCGGAGAACTGGAAGCCGCTTGTCAGCAAGCATAGAAACTGGCGAAGCACCTTGCCCGCGCTCAGGTAAAGGGACAACTGCGCAAATCGCATACATTTAGACTTTTACAGACACAGTGGGTAAGTAGCGGTGGTAATCTTCTCGAGAATATTCACTAAAAACTGATAACCTCGTAGGGCTCCTTTTCGTGCTTGGGGAAGTTTGGATCGGAGCGGTCTTTTGCCCACTTGAACCAGCTCTCAGGTGTACGCTCCATCTTATGCTCCGGCGCCGGTGGCATAGTGCGTGGGGTTTTACTGAGCTGAGTGTGGATCTTCTGCGCAGCACGAATCGCGAAGCACATCGACGTCAGGGTCGGACTGGAATATCGGTGAGTTTGAAACCCTCGAATCATAAATTTCTTGCTTACTTCGCAGCGAAGGGCGTCGGAATCAGACCATTCCCAGCGACGTAGAGATTATTGAAACCCCATACTTGGCTGTGATAATTGGCCACCGTAGTGTTTGGGTCGTTTCTATTCAATATTAGCGGCATTGACAAAATTGGCAGGGAACTTGAATCATACCCAACGCGAATGCTACCTCCAAGATGAAGGGCAAGACCTGGTGCCATGAATTGAGGCCCTGCACCCGGAAGGTATCCCCCGAGCTTGTTCGCAACGTCCGTCATGCTAGGTCGGAAAAGTTAGCGATGATTCCGCAAAAAAGCTCGAAAACCTACTCGTTCATCATCCGAGTCGCCTCAGCGGCATGCTCTTGGGTTGGCTGATACTCGAATGTGGGCTGGGGCATACCGTACGCGTCTCTCACGTCGGTTTCGAAAATGATCCGATTCTCTGGCACACTTTTCTGCATGCCGAAAAACCGCAAATCGACCACGACTCGCGCATCGACGAGCGGACCCACTTCACCATAACTGAATGCGTCACGGTGGACCTGGACGTGCCAAGGTCTCTGAGTGCGCTGTTTAGTTTCCTCGCGGGTCGTCTATGCTGATATAACCTACCTCCGCACTCACAGGAATAGTAACCTGGGGCTCCTTGTCCATGAATGGGCTAAACGAAATCAGCAATGCCAAGTGCCGCGAAAAGAAATGCTGACATGGGGAGCGAGTCGTTCGGGTGATCTTTCTTGTGCTTCGTTACAGCTTCCTTCCACCAGTCAGGTTTGTCGCTTAAATTTGCGATGTCTTCGACCTTGACACTGTCATTAGCACACTGGGACGAGGCAATGAGAAATTTTCGAACCAAATTTTGACGCAAGACAACCTGGCAGAAGGTCATACTGTCGATTCAAGGGTGAGTATGCTCCGTATAGGCCTCGAAGACAGCTTACGGCTGTTCAGTAATGCCAAAGCCCTATCAGTACTGGTTAGCAACGCGCGATAGGACAAATTCCTCCCCCACCAGCCGGGGGATAAGTTGCGGTTTGTCGGTCTCTCGAGTTCCACCGAATCCAGAGTTTGCTAAAATCTATGCAAAGTGATTTCAGCTACTTTGCACGAAGACGATCATGTGTACCTGGGGAGTCCCAATGGCCCCTGTGGTTTGTCGTGTCAGCTGTATGTTGTCGCGACCAAAGCAACGGACTACGAACCCGCAGCGAGCACAAAGATCTGAGTGATACGAGTTGAGCAATTATGATTGGGGGAAAGGGTAAGTCGCGCACTTTTGCACGAATATGAAAGTCGGAACTCTTCTGATGTTGAAGCATGGCTTTCAGATCACGAACCTCGCTACATTCTCCAGTTAATACCAAAAGCCAAATGATTCGAACCCACTCACGCGACGTATATCTGTTCTGGATCGGGGTCCGTAGGCAGAGTCTGGCCCGCTAAATGCAACTTCGTGCAGAGGGTGTTGGGCAACAGCTTAAACACGCCACGACGGGTTCCGTCACCGTTCATCTTGTTGGGATTGGTAAACATGTCGCCGTAAATCTGGGCAAAACTCGTCAGACGCGACTAGGTGGACGGGAATCGAACAGCCTACGTTATCGGCGGCGTGCCATTCGATGTCGTCCTCCGTGGTATGGCAAGCAAGGGGAAGCGGTTTGACTCCGCGATCAGGGTACGCCGCTTGGAGAGCCTTCAGCACGACGTTGTGGCGAATTGATTGGTCGAACTGTGTGTCGGAGGTCCCGATCATGCGACGAGCACACTCATAGAGAGCTTTCCACTCGGCGGAATCGGTTTTCTCATCGTCACAAAACTTGGGGCGCTCGAGGCCAGCCAGAAACTCGGGAGTAGAGCATGTCCTGAACCCAATTGCGTCAATCCAATCGTTAAGAGTCAATGCACGTACCAATGCGTACTCATTCCGCCCACACATCGAGTTACAGCTTCGCCCGGGAGGTTATTGTGCACCTTCTGTCGGGGGTTCGAGCCCATGGCATTAATCGGGGCATTCGGATCTCTGGATCTGGTCAGCGACTCGTCACGGAAGATCGTAAGAGAAGCGCACTCAGCCCGCCAGGACGAAGGGTCGGACAGCACCATATTGGCGGTGCTCGACGGGACCGATGCAATCGACAACGCTCCCTAGTCAATGTATGAGCTAGCATGACCGCGCAGAAAGACATTCAGCATGCTATGACGAACCTGGATGACTCCTAGTGTCGAGCGATGGCTTTGAGATTGTGTCTTTCACAATGGATCAAAACAGACGCACGGACAAAACGATCGATGTCTTTTTTGTATTCAATCTCATTTTTCTTGTGCGCGGCCGGGATGCGAGTTCCCCTGAGAACGATGAGCCATGAGGTGTAGACGAAGAAAGCTACTGCGGACGCACTGGTCGCCGGTCTCGACCATGCAAACCTGAATTCGAATGAGCGCCGGCGATGACGGCGGTGAGCGAGGGGCCAACATACATGGTAGCCTTGATCGACGAGGAGACGTGCATACGTCGCGCCTATGGGTCCCGAGCCCGCAATGAAGACCTGAACAAGAAACTTAGTGAACATCCGAGCTTAAGAACAGAATCAAAACCTACATCAAACGTGTCCACACCGGGAGGCAGAGTGTCGTGGATTTTGTGGAGGGGCAAATCGGACATTGACGATAGCTATGAGAGGACGATACTTAGTCGCGGCTATCAGGTCGGGTTGACAACTCTTAAATACCATTGCGTTCCTGGGGTCTCAGGCTATAATGAGCGTGCACTGAGGCTCTTGCCATCAAGCTGGGAAGCATCGCTGAAGCTTTCGGGGTGAGAAGGACTGTCACGGGCCTTGCGCAAACTCTGCAACAGGAAGCGAACTCGCTACTCGTTCCGAGTCGGCGCTTGCCCAATCCCGGGGGCCAGGCTCATCATGATGCCACCAATTTTAGCCGCCGCGGCTTGGCCGCGGCAATCACTCACTGCCTCGACATACTTTATCTTCCAAATCATAACTTGGAGGAGGTACAGCATACCAGTATAGAACCTCTGCACACTTGACTGTGTGTTCTGCGACTGTACCAGCAACCGTCGTCTTCCCGGCCCGATGCCGGTTGAGCATGTGATTGTAACATCAAGTGACAAGTGACGGTGACGTGATTTTTCTACTCTTGCCAACGATGTGCGTGTGTGGCTGTCTTCAAGGAGCCAGCGTTGCGCCGGCGCCACTGGCACACTTGACGCATCTCGCGCTGCTTCTCGTGTGCTTCATCGGGACCCGACCTCCTTCTCAAGTTTCTATTCGACAAGCACTGGCACACTAGCAACCGGCGGGTCTCCCAATATCGCCTGTCGGCGAAACTGACGAGCGGGTGATGGAAAGTCGAGTCGCAGAACTATGGCTTCATGGTATGCGTCATTCTCCATCATACTCGTTGCATATTCAAGCTTGCAAGCTCGGCAGTCCAGGAAGTTCGCTGAGGCAATTGCAACCTGTCCGCAAATAAGTTTCCCCCTGCGGCAGAAGTTTCGGCTGGTCAAACGCGCTTCTCCAACCATATACGGCCATCTCTTTACTGCTGGCGGTTGTTTTTTCTGGAGCTACGAGAATCAGCAGCCAATCTTGTCACCTCCGCTTGCGGTCGTGACGTCGCCCCAGGTTTCTTTCTTCAAGTTCATCGATCTCGCGCATTGGTTAGCACCCCCACTTCACCGTCAGTATAAAAGCATCCACTGAGACGTCCTACCAGCCACATACTCGTACGATGTGTTGCAGCCACCGACTCGCAGAGGCCTCAGCGCCGGGTCAACTCGTTCCTAATCCCACCGAAATCGTCGTCGGCGAAAACTTGCCAGACGGCTACTGGCTCCAAGCCTTCTACTTCCACCGCGACGACCTGTTTCCGGACTTGGTCGGATACGGGCTGGGCACGGCGAAGGAGCCTGCGACGATCATGTTGTATGTCAATCCCAAAAATCAAGAGTACATCTTCTGCTTGTCTGGCATCGCCGTAGCTGACCAGGTGACACAGGAATGGAGCAACAGGATGGCTTGCAGTCCCCATTCAGATAATGGACTTCCCGGTCGCCATGGCCGCAGTCGACCTCACGGGCGATGGCTATAATGACGGTGCGTCTCTGGCCTCCTTGCTTTGTGACGCGGCTGACTCGGAATGGCACTCACTAGTTGTGATTTGCGACCGATACGGTCCAAGTATGGGTGATGTGGGTCGCGCACTTTATTGTAGCGGCGTGTACTTATCAGCATATTAATAGCTCTGGCCGAAGGACGGAAAAGACGGGGGCCGCGTTCAGTGGTTGCGGAATCCAGGTCGGCGCATCATGCCTGATAATACACCTTGGGCAGCGGCACGCATCGGGAACTCGACGGGAATGCATCGGTAAGCCATCCGCAATCATAACTGGGACGTTTCGCTCAATGAATCTAGCTTGAATGGTAAGCCAGGCTTTCTGGCAATGGCTATGACTGACACCGAAGTTGTCGTAGTCGGGCGTTTCACGAGCAACGAGCATCCTCAAGTCCTCGCCGTCCCCATCATTGCGGCATCCAGCGACCTCGAGAGCCCCGCGCCTGTCATTTTATTCACGCCTCAGTATAGCACAGACGTCAATGCGGGGCCTACATCGTGGGACGAATCGGTGCCATTTCCCAACCAATTCAGGCTCATCCATGATGTCAAGGTTTTGCCCGTCTTGCGCCCGGACTTGGACGGGATCCTTGTCTCTGGACGGGAAGGTATTGTGTATCTGTACTACAACCGGTCTCGCGGGTGGGCCTCCACAGTAATCGGGAATGGGCTTGCGCCGCAGGGGGCAAACCCATACTGGGGATCCGGGTCTGTCGATATTGGGAGGGTGCTAGACGATCCGGTTGGCTACATTGCCACCTCAGAGGTAAGATTTCCTCTCCCGCCGGCACCGTTGTTGACTCCGACGCCGCAGGGATTTCACGGAAATGTTGTGTCTGTTTACATCAAGAAGGACGGCGCACCGAAGGGAGCCAAGTCGCTGTTGCAGTCGAGCAACTGGACTCGGGTTAAGATTGACGACTTTGGCCCGCTCAACGCCGCGCAACACACAGGCACGATCCATCATGTGGCGGTCGGGGACTTTGACGACAGCGGCATCGATTCGTTTGCGATCGCTTGCATGGGAGCACGTAAGATTTCAAGTTTTGAAGTGCCCTGCCTTGTTGCTCACCACGCGTTTCAGCCATTGAAGAACGTGCGTCTTCAACAACAACAACAACTTAGTTCAAGTTTCAAGATCCCACTGAAATCTTTGCAGCGAAGAACTCTGGTGTCTACCTATACAAGCCCACCGATATCAAGACGGGGACGTTCAAGAAATCTCAGATAACCAACCGCTCAGCCGGCCGCCTCGCAGTCGCGCACTACACGAGCAAAGACCGCGTGCGTTCAAGTTTCCAGTTTTCGCAGCGCCTTACTTATGAAGTTATGAGTAGCCTGTGGACATCGCCTCGATCTCGTATTACGTCCCCAGATACCACACCGGCCCGGAAGCCCCGAGCATCCGCATCAACCCGAGCGTGTTCTTCGCTCCGGATGCTGCAGCGGAGATCCGCGCCGCACGACTGCAGCACGAAGTCCTCTTGCTCATCCCACGTCCAAAGACGCTTGGTCTCATAGGCGTTGTATCCATGCCGCTGATCACCGTGGCCGGCAAGCGCCTCATTGTTTACGCCGTCCCCCCAGATGTGGAGGTCCGATTTGGTCCAAAGGATGCGATCAAGGTGTTATATGGTATGTCTCTGCTCTTCTCGGCGGATTCAAGTCAGCGCTGAAAATCATAACCAGGGGATATTGTTATGAAGAGCACCAACGGCAAGGTTGTCCAACGCACCCTCGCGCCAGAGCGGTTCCAGGCGGCCACCACAAGAATCCTCTCGGCGGACGGCTCTGTTCGGGCCGGTGCTGACGGTGCAGTGTTTTTGTTGATGGAGCATATGCCGGACTTGGTACAGGGCCCGTTCCATTCGATGCACAAGCTGCAGATTGGGAATGTGTTCCCGGCCCACACGCCGGCAGACGTACAGGCCCTGCAATTTGGGTTCACCAAGGTTGACCAGCTTCCGTGGGCAAGCGGCGGAAGTCAGTTTTGATTAGTTTTGCGGAGGAAGATACTAATCGCAGCATAGATTGGGACAAGTTCGAGTTCTACAATATGAGCGGCTTTCAGCTGGTCTTCGGCGACGACGCGATGGAGAAGATTTGCCATGTTCAGCTTTGGACGCTCGGACTGGGCGAGACGGTGAGTCTTGTTTTTGTTCTCAAGTAATCGTGCTCAGATTTCGCGTTGTAGGCCCGCTTCCGTGAGTCTATCTCGTGTGTGTGGGGTACCAGCGAGCTGAGTAATGTGTAGACATTCATGACACGGTCCCGTTCTGCGAAATCCATTGCTGTCTCTCCAATGGGGGTACTACAACGGACGGCTACAGCGGAATGGTTAGCTTTGCTCTTGTTACGATGATAGTACTTACTTACGCCCGCGCAGCGCTGGTTCCCAGACGACTTCCCCTTCGACACCGCTCAGGAGCTGCAGAAGGCATACGTGGAGAATAACTCGAAGCATCTTGCCTGCCGGGACCTGGAGGAGCACGGCCCGCTCTGGAAGGTACAGCCTGGCGGATTCCGCGCACGGCCGCTGCTCCTTCCGAATGGGTGCGTGGACTATCCGTTCCATGGGTGGCTCAGCAGCCGCTTCGGAGACCGCCAGATTCCGATTGACCCGCCGCTTGTCGGCGACGAGCAGCGGTATGATGTTTGGTTGGCGTGAGTCGTACCTCAAGAGAAGATAGTTGTCGCTGACCATTGTTTGTGTAGGTTCGAGTTCCCAATAGCTGCGTTCCAGTTCTAGTACCAAATACAGGACTACCAGTAGTACCTGTGTAAAATTGTGTCAAATGTCGTATAACAAGCATTTCTTGTCAATAAATAGCCGTGAAAGTTATCAGTTCATGTACCGAAGTCAAACTGGCCCCTACAAGTCTACCAATAGACGTCAACAACGAGATTGAACAAGGTAGGGGGATGGTATGGGACATTGTGGTCGGTCGTACCCGTGCGGTTAAGCTTCTAGTAGATTGCGCGTCATCACTCAGGCCAGGCTACTAGTAGAATACACTGGGGGTACATATGAGAGTATGCTTGAAAGTTTGTGCAAGGTTGAGCTAGAGGCCGGCGGCGATTGAAGAAACATATCTGTTGAGTATCTGGTGCGTCGAGGCGATAGCGCCTAGAGCAGAGAAGATAGCGAACGAAGCAGCAGTGGTGTGCTTCGCGACATTAGGAAATGTCGTGTCTTGACTCTTGAGGGGTGAAAGGGAGCACAGCGACTCGGAGTGGTGGACTCTGGACTGGTATAGAGTACTTGAACGTGATGAGCAGTGTGCATGGCGTTATTGCTAAGAGAATGGGTCAACAAGACACCACAGGTGATAGCAATTGCGTGTTACACGCACCTTCGGCCAGTCCTTCGGTATCCCGCGCCAGCCTGAGAGCATCCACATACACTCTCCTGCCGTCTCACTTGTAGTGTTGCGCCGCATTTGTAAGAGCCGGAGACGGTTCTGAGGGATATTATGTATCCGAGTCAGCGTGTTCCGATTCAGCACACACTGAACTTGAAGAAAAGGGCAGAGCATGCTCACCGACGGTAAGCTATTCACAACAGCTTGAAATCCGAGAGCTACGGCCCGACGTCGAGATGTCCAAGACGAGGCGCTCGAGCAGAAGTGAAGTCGCGAGTAGTGGTGGAGGAAAGAAGATCGAGATCACATGCCTCGGCCCGATCTTCCTTCCTCTCTTCCACGATGACCACGACACGGGCTCCTTCATTCCCACTCTACATCGCGCGACATATGCTGTCGGTGAATCGTCGCTGTCACTAACGGCGAAGATGCATCCCTTGGCTTGGGATAGCTGCACTCATGATCAAGCTGGCCGATTTCGCTGACGATGCACGTTCTTACCGGTCTTTGAAATTCCAATAACTTGTGGCAGGAGCAACGTGGAAAGGATGTGCGGGGTACTACAGGCGGGAGCGGTCGGTATTTGGGGCCAGAAACAGGTGAGTTTGAAGCAACTGGCGCCGCCACACTCACTTTCAAAGTCGCTGACGAGTTTTCGCAGTGGGGCCCCGAAAGACACTTGCGGCAAGCGGGAGGAGAAAAAGGCCTGCTGTGGCGCTCAAATACGAAGTCATATTGGCGAAATACAAGTGCGTGGCTGCACCCGCTTGCTTCTTAACACATTCTGACTCCACTCGTCAGCTCGACCTCACCCGATAGCTATTCTATCCCTTCTTCGACGAGCTCTACCGTTGTGGGCGATGAATCGTATGTGTTCTGGGTGAGTGTGGCCGTATTGCCTCCACGCAGGAACTCACCAGCTTGTCGGAAGGCTTGTCGACTTACATATCACTGAATATGCCTCCAGCTCCACACGCGACAAGTCATCCTTAGACACTCTCCACGACCAGCACACGTCATTAATAATTCATAAGCCTCGGCCGCTCAAGCGGTCGTGTAATGACCCAGATTCTCTCCCTTCGCGGCTTTGCCAACCACCAAACAACGCTCCAACACACATGCCGCTCACCACGCATTACATCTTCCCCCATACTCCTTCCTCATCCCTCCGCCTCTGGTTCGTCTCCTGTCCTCGCAGCATCCACCATATCCACGACCTCTGTCCCGAAGGAGAAGGTCACGTGCCACTTGCCCAGGCCAAACACATTCGATATATCTTCGCAGCCATGCTGTGTATCACTACAGCGAGCACTTACGAAGCTGTACCACACTCGCCCCCTCCTATTCAATTCTTTTCCCTGCCGCATCCGAGGCAGAAGGCCCTTGTTGGCGCCTTTTCGTCCAGACCATCCGCCAGTGACAATGAGGTCGTGTACGGGAGGAGACGCGGCATTCGCGGGGCAATGGATGTCTGAGAATACGGGTGGTGTTTTTTGGCCTTGGGGCCGGCGTTTGGGCACCGCGATTGCTAGACAACTTGATTCGCCTTCGCTCGGCCGGAACGAGAGTGTCATTAGGGCGGGCAAGTCCGAGCTTTCGTGGTTGTCCTGCTGGTGATGACTGAGTTGACTGACTTCTGCACTTTACGATGCCTCAACAATGCCAATTGGGAGCGCCATTGCTGCTAGGCACTGGAGATCTTGTTTTTGGTGGCTGGTCTTCATCTTCGCTTCTTTCGTACTTACGATACTCCCTCTAGTATAGAGACCTCCGTGTACTTCTACCGCGACCGACATATGAAGCTGTCACTCCTGTTGTCTGACTAGCTGATATGGCTTTTCTCCATGAACATCGGCCTGAAAATTCTCGGTAATGCCCATGGCGGACAGGCCGAGGCCACTCAGGCTCTTGCCGTTGTGCGATTCGGAGACACTGGTTGCCAAGACTCTTTGTGCGCGGGTTGTCGAGGGCGAATGCATTCGGGAACGCATCATATGTGGGGGTAAAACGTCTGTATAGGTTGGCGGCTGCGGGTGCCTTTGCGGCGGTAGACAGCGAGTCTATCTAGGCGCAAGCCATCCTTGATTGCAATGCCATGGCCTGCCCTTGGCCCCACATGACGGTCAGCCTGCGTCCTCTGTGATATCCACGGCATGTCTTACTCATTTACGCAGACAACTAGGCATTTCAACGACTTCTCGCCCCGGGTTGTCTAGATTCACAAACAGACGGCTGTCGCGTCGGGAGCGAATCCAATCTGGGTGTGCTTGCCGCAGGACTAAGTACTCCGGCTGCGAACGGGCGAACGATTGCGCTTGAGCCGAGCATACAGACGGGAGACTGTTGTATTAGGTACGTGAAACGGCGGGAGTCACTTCCGCTTTCCACTGCTGCCGACGATTGGCTTACTTATTGGCGGTGTTTAGATAAAAGACTGGCTTGCATGCACAATCGGTATACCGCCAGTTTTTGTCCTTGTCAGCCTCCTCACAGGTAAGCCGGCCAGCCATACATGAGCTGCAGCAACAACTGCTAATTCACCGTTTCGCGTACTTAGATACCAATGCAGCTCACCAACCTCTTCGTTTCGCTCCTCATCGCGTGCGCTGCCGGCAGCGCGAGCGCAACAACGCTGAAATGGCACGCCGGTGCCCGCTGCACTGGCGGCGTCATCGAGACAGTTTCCGACGGCAAGTCGGGCCAGTGCATTCTCCTCGGCCAGGGCCGGACCGCGCGGAGCATCTCCTTCAACGGCGCCAAGGGCATCGAGTTCTTCGAGTCCGGCGGGAAGCACGACGTCTGCACCAACGGCGCCCAGGCGAGCAGCACTCACAACTCGGGCTGCGTGACTGCGCCCGCAGGGTGAGTGGTGTTGCGGACTTGCTGCTTGCGCCAATGATTGACATACCTCGATGTAGATTCAACTGGGCAAGTGTTCGTCTCCGGTAGATGGAATTGGTTGGCGGTGGTGTGGCCACAGAGTTTCTTATTTGTAACTTGCTTTGGTTCAGGTTGCAATGGATTCAGTGTGGACGGTGGTCTCCACAGCAGAGGCGACGATAGGAAGGAAACGACAACGAAGATATTTGAGCGTTTCGGAGATGAGCGGTCAGCCGCAGCGGCCGCGCGATTCGCGTCTGAATTTGAGGCAAGAGAAGAATTGAAAGGTGTCGATTTTCTCGGAACATCAGGGCAAACCCTCTGCCTGTTTCTGCCTGCCAACGCAAACTCATCGATACATTATCAGTATCGACATATAGTAGAGGTCTTCGTCTTCATTCAAATTGATTCAATCGTGCACATGGAGAATGTATGGATATTGTATGATGCAGCGTCATCTTTGTAAATGAGAAAGGGTATATTGCGAAAACAACCCTATGAATCTAGGAAGACAGTTGATGCTTTGTAGATGGTGTTGAGGCTCTTCGGAAAGAAAATTTAAGAAATTGCAGCCATTGTCAATGATAAGTAGACGATGTCGACCGCAAGAGGCGGGGAGATGAGGGAGCACATTGGTGGAGGGTGGACCAGGTGCGGCGCGAGTAACTTGAGTACGATGACAAGCTTGAGGAAGTGCGCAGAACGGAGTGGTTGACGGGAGTTGGTGTGTAGATTAGGGTTTGTCGTCAGAACTGAGAAAACCGAGGCCGCGAGGACACATTCTTTCATTCGTCGGCTAGAAGACGTGCTAGCTTGGGCAAAGCGGAGCAAATGTGCTGCAGGAACGCTAGGATGTATGTCGTTTCGCGGAACAAAAGGAGGAGCAAAGCAGAATGTGGTGTGACATCACCATCCATCTTCTCTTTTGCGCGGTCATGTCGTCAACACAGCCCACATATCCCAACGCATTCTCCAGCCTAAAACACCCTGCGATGGAGACGAAAGAAGCGCTGCTGCTGCAGGAGGGGATGGAGAGGGAGAGGGCAGCTAAACGTGGGCGGACGAATGGGTCCATGCATGGCGGGCATTAGTGCGTTGGCCTGGATTTTTCTTGCTTTTCGAATGGCTCAATGCAACCTCAGGACTCAAATACCGCCCTCTTTCTTTGCTGCGATGCCGATAGTACCATGCAATGCCTAGAGCGCTACGTTGACACAGCTGTCGGACAGCATCTGCTACACGCATTGTGTCTAACCCTCTACGACACGATATTCGCATCCCAATCGTTTACAACGCCTCTTTCAAGTGCTTTCAGAGCTAGAGAACGCCTTTCGTTCACCCCTCTCCTACTCTATCGGGCTTCGAGCACCGCTTCTGGCACTCGTATCTCTCCTGTATCCCTGTTTCACGCCGACCTTGTCGTTTCTCCCTTGGGGCCAATAATCTTCGCCACCGCCAGCTACGAATATGAAACGACGGATAACATTGCGGTAGACTGCGTGGAAGCGGCTGGCGCCTGCCTTGGGTATGCCGTGGTCTTCCCAAAGTCAGCGCCGCATGATGTGGTTGGGGAGCACGCGAAGGAGAGACGCTCTGAGGAGAACTCTGGTATGAATTCGGTTACGTGCTCTGAGAATGCGGAAGCTGACCACCAAAGGGCAGATAGACATATTACAAAGGCGTATATACACCGTCAAGATACCCCTCAACACACCCCTCGACACACATCCATCACATCTTCGCCAAAGATAGCCAATGTCGACCCAGATCCGAGAGTGGATTCTCGCTCATCGACAACGAACGCGAAACCTCATAACACGGGTTCAATCGATGCTCCCCCTCGTCCTCATGTCCTTCCTGCGTCTTCAAAGCCAGACATACGCGCAGCTATCTTTTTTACGCCTTTTTGGCCTGAGATAACTGAGGTCAGACTCGTCACATCCAGCAGACAATCCAGCGTCGCGAATGCATCGTGTGGAGGCCTACAAACCGTGTCTCCTTCTGCAGGCCACCACCAGCCCGACATTCAATTCTTCTCTCGGCATATTTCGATGCTTAGGGCCATCGTCAAGCCCGTTCTCCAACGTTTACGCTGTTTTGACGCATACTTGGTCCCTGTGTTGCTGTCCGAACTCGAAGAAGCTACTGCCGCCGCCTCATCACCTTTCCGTCTTTCATATCCAACTTCCATCGTTCTCATCGACGCCTGCGCTATCCGTACGACCCCATCGAAAACGTGTCCCAAAATGGCAAGTCACGTGGACTATGGCCTGTCGAAAGACCTCGATGTATCTCTCCCGATACTGCAGCTGGGGCTCCCGCTGCCATATCTCCATGTCCTTCACGTCATTCTCATTCACTCTAATTCTTGTGGCCGGCCTATCTGAACCGGCAGGTCTTCTTCGAGCGCGTTTTCTGGGCAGTGATAGCGGGCATGTAGACGATTCTGCATTGTGGATATGTCCCGTGGGGCTCTGAAAACCATGTCTCCATCTGCAAGACACGACAACCCTCCCTCCTAATCATTATTTCAGCGCATTTTGGTCGATAAGGTCATCGTCGAGCCCGTTCTTCAAATGTTTCCGCTGGTGCGACACATACTTGGTCCTTGTATTGCTGTCGAACGTGAAGAGGCTACTGCCGTTGCTTCCTCATTTTTTTCCCTTGCATATTCAACTCCCTAGCTTACTCGTCGACGCCTGCGCCATCCGTACGACCCAATCGAAAGCGCTTCCCAAAATGGCAAGTCACGTGGACCGAGGGCCTTTCGGATCGATGTATCTCTCCCAGCACAACAGCTGTGGCTCCCGCTGGTGTATCTCTATGTGCCCCACACTTCCCCTTCTCCACCCAATTCTTTTGGCCGTCCTATCCCAAGTGGAAGGTCTTCGTCGAGCGTGTTTTCTGGGCAGCGATAGCGGGCATGTAGACGGTTGTGCATTGTGGATACGTCATGGGGAGCTCTAAAAACCATTTCTCCATCTGCCACACACGACAATACTCCCTCCTAATTCTTCTCCCGGCGCATTTTGGTCGATAATGTCATCGTCGAGCCAGTTCTTCAAATGTTTGTGCTGGTGCGACACATACTTGGTCCTTGTATTGCTGTCGAACGTGAAGAGGCTACTGCCGTTGCTTCCTTATTTTTTTCCCTTGCATATTCAACTCCCTACCTTACTCGTCGACCCTTGCGCCATCCGTAGGACCCAATCGAAAGCGCGTCCCAAAATGGCAAGTCACGTGGACCGACGGCCCGTCGAAAGACCTCGATGTATCTCTTCCGATACCTCAGCTGTGGCTCCCGCTGGCGTATCTCCATGTGCACCACGCCTCCTTTTCGCTACTCAATTCTTTTGGCCGTCCTATCCGAAGTGGAAGATCTTCATCGAGTGCATTTTCTGGGCAGCGACAGGTCGAAAGCTCCGGGACGGCCGTTAAAGGGGAGACGCTATATACGGGCAAGTGGCCCGGGCCCGTATCAAGCAGAAGGGTAGGAAGACAGAGCCTGAGACGCTGGAGGGCCTACGGTGAGTGTGGTCAAGCGAAGCCTATCGACCGATTCTGAATAACACTGGCCAGCCCGACATCAAGCAAAGTATCCCGCGGTCGCGAGATGAAACAGGGTTTGCTGCACGCTGTGGCAGTAGAGGACTTTGGGAAGAAAGCCTATCCATCCTGCTCGGACTAGTACCACACCTCCCGCATGAAAATCCACCTCGCCTCGCGAACCCTTGCTTTCTCTTCCCTTAATCGACACTCAAGTTGCGGTCGCCTGCGCCAGCCATTGTCAGCCAACGCTGTTGTCCTCCTCTGCGGGCTCGAAATTGATAATTCAGCGCCTGAATATGGTTGTTTATCGTCCGCGTAAGGTTACAGCACGGTCTGGGCTTATGCGCCGACCTCGGCGGACAGCTACGACCTTCTGCGGTCGGTCGGGCCATGCTGCCGGCGTCATGTGACCGCCGGCGCCGGATCGGGCCAAACGGCTGACGCACTTGAAAACGAATCCGCAGGGTCACGCATTCCCAAAAAGGAAATGCATAGTCAAGAGCTGCTGACGCCAGCTCTGAGTCAATGAACTCGCCTGCCATTTGTGCCAGGCGGTAGCGTGCAAACATTAAACCCCCACCAGCGACTTTGGACGACTTTGCTTGTCATAGCGCTATGGCAGCGTCGGCAATGGGCAAGACTGACGGAGGGAGGGAATGGACATTGACCTTGAGGGGGTGCTCGGACGACGAAGCATTCTGTGGAATTATCTTCGCGTTCCCGTTCGCGAGCTCTGTCTCCTGCTTGACGAGCCTGACTGTCAGTGTGGCACATTGCCGAGCCCCAATGGCAGGTATGTACTCTTTCCCAAAGACGCAATTCAAGGCGCTGAGCTTGTTTTCGCAGCTTCTCGTTGGGCACACAAAAGTAACTTGAAGAATATCCGATATCGAAAGCAGTGCCTCATGCCCTGACCATCTCGCTGCATGCAATAGGCATTTTCCCACCTCTGCTCCTTCCGCCGGGTTTCTCATCATGCCTGTTCCGTCTCGCCAGCGCAAGAGCACCCGGTATCTCGACAACTAGGCCATCTCTGGTTTCAAGCCGTGGAACGACCTCCACCATACGTTTCGCTGGATGTTATTCATGCAGGAAGGCCATCCGTTGAACCGGCTCTCGTTGTTTGCTTCGCGTTGTGCGCTTAAGCTTCTTCTTGCGAGGTTGACCCATAGTATCTTGCGCTGGAGGACATTCCAATGAGACAAATTCGGAGGCGGAAAACCCCGCTATCGTCCAGCCAACTCTCGCCTCTATCTCGTCAACAACGCTGCAACTGCCTTACTCAATCAGATGTCTATTTGACCCCCCTTCCATATCACGCATCCCTCCTCGTTCAACGGGTGTCGAAGGCTGGAGATAGCGATGTCCTTGTGCGGATCCAATTTCCACTGCGGCTAACGCAGTCGTCTGCCTTACCATATCTGCACTGTCTTCCATCCCCTCATGATCAAGCGCTCACGGCTTACTTATGCGTTTTTTGGTTATTTGTTCTGTTGCTCGCTACGCTACTAGCATTGTCTGCAAATGTATTGTATGTCAGGGTTTGCCACTTGAAAACGAATCCGCAGGGTCACGCATTCCCAAAAAGGAAATTCCTGGCACGTGACACCGACGCCTGAGCCCGCCGTCCCGCCGTTAAGGCTTAAGTCCCGCTGTTAAGTATTAAATGCCTCCAATTAGCTAAAAATGTAATAATCATTTTGCTATTAATAATACAGAGTTGCACAAGAATTCTACATGCCATACAGCGTTGGCGGCGGCGCCCCGGGAGGGCGGTTCAAATATACTGGACCAGCTGACCCAGACATCAGCGGCGCGACAGTAGCAACGCGCCCGCGTGAGCGAGTACTCATCACATGTCTCGAAGTGACAGGCTTCTTCCTGGGTGCTCGCTTGGGCTTTGGAGGGGGAGGAGGTGGCGGCGGAGGAGGTGGTGGGGGTGGTGGGGGAGGAGGTGGGGGTGGCATAGGTGCAGTCCGTGCGTCCGAGCGAGCTCGTTTTCCCGAACGCTCCCCGCCGCCGAAAGGGTCGTCAAATGTCTTGGCTTTGGTCTTGCGAACCCCAATGCCCGATTCTGCACTGTTAGTGTCTCTCTTGCGCTTTGCCAATGAGGAGCCCATGTTCTTTGCTGTTTCCCCCCAATGATTCTTCTGGTTTGGAGCAATCTTTTCGGCCGCCGGCAAGAGTGTCGAGTCTGGACGGAGGAAATGGGAAACTGCTTCGCGAAGCGCCGTAATCTCCGTCAAGGACCGTGGGTTCTCCGTTACCTCCGCTGCAATGGCAAGTAGTTGTTTGGCAAGCTGGTGGGATGCTGCAGTTTCAACATCGGATATGCTCGGGAGTTGACGAGGTTCCAGCGACTGCAGAATAGGCGCATCAGCTGTTGCTTGTCCGGGAACAACCAGCTGGGGATGGAGGGATGTCCGGGCAGTCGGTGGGTGTAGGCTCGTGTCGATGGCGGACTCGGGGAAATGTGTTCCAACACAAGCTGCATGTATGCAAAAATGTATGCGTTCATGGTCAGTGCAGGAACAACCGCTTCGATTCACGCTGTATAGCGCCCACGGGTTGGTTGCTGATGGCGCAAAAACAGCGTAGAAGGCGTTGGCGTTTGTGGGAGGCGCGATGGCTGTTGGGAGGATCGTCTTGGCTTGCTGCAGCACCGCGAGACGGGCGACCTGCTCGAGATTGTGGCCGTGGACACCCGCCAGCTGTTCCTGATGACGCGCCTTGGTATGGTTCTCAACAGCGACTGTTAGCAGCCAGATGAGCTCGTCCAGTCGGCGGTTACGAGTTCCCTCGCCAAAGTACGACTTCAGCATATGATGCCACGCCTCCGTGAGCATATTGGTGTCAGATTCTTGAAACACCGTTCGACCAACGCGAAAGTATGCCGCCCATCGTGGCAGCCAGGTCTCCGACATCCAATACTCCTCCATATAGACAATGACAGACGGCGGGCATTCGATAGGCCCAAGATTCTTGATGCGGGTCCACAATTCATCGAAGCGCTGTTGTGTTGAGGCATAGACAAGCTCCTTGAGTAAGGCCCAGAGTTTCGGATATGCGGAGACATTGAAATGCTGGTACCATGCGTGGACGACATGCCATCGACAGAGAAGAAGCCAAGCGGTGACGTAGACATCAAGCACAGCATTAATTTGCGCGTTGTCTCTATCGCTCATCCACACCCGCGGGACGACATCTGGCGACCACAACTGGAGCTTTGAGAGGAAAAAGTGGATAGTTTTCTCGGTGCCATTTGAGGAGACCATGAATGCTACAGGTGCGCCCCGTCCCCAGTCATCCCGGATGACGACAGAGAATAATGATACTCCCTTGTAGTGTGTCGTATTGTGGGTTGCGTCAACCCCAGCGAAGCGGTCGTGCCCGTAATAGTACCAGCACTGCTGCTGGTACCTTGTCTGGAATACGAGGACAAATGCGTCGGCATCGAGCCCAGATCCTGCGGGTGGAGCATCGCGGCGGGTCTTGAGGAAGACAAAGTGTCCTGCTGCAGCGAGCCGCCGCGCGTGCTGGATAACAGACTCGTCGTCACTTGGGTGCAGGCGATACTCTTGGGCCTTGATTTTTGCCGCAATACGACTAATATCAAGCATCTTGACCTGCTGGTCCCGGTTGACACTCCCGAGGCTTCCAACAGACGTCGTTGCGGCGTTTTCAGTCTTCATACTCTTGTACTGCCAACAATATCACTGCTTCAACCTCAAAATTAAGCTGGAAAACTCACAATGGCTTTCCCGGACTCGCCCTTCATCAACCGCCCCTCAATCGTCTCGCGTACATCCTTCGACAGCGTCATATAGGGCAGGTTGTCGGCACCGAGTAGGTGGGTGTGCTCATCGCGGTACTTGACGAGGACACGGTCTGTACCCGGGTACGTCTTCTTCGTGATTAGCGCACTGCAGCCACCTGCTAACTCCTTCTTGAAGTCTTTAGATTTGCGCTCGGGCCGTTTCCGCTCGCGAGCATGCAAGCGAGCATCGCCATCCCGTGTACAAGTATACGTGGCTCGCGTCAACCAAACTCGCTCGGTCTCCGGCAGCGCGCATGACTCGGTTCGGCGGTGTCGAAACTCGACAGAGCGTGTCCGACGCTGGTCCAGCAACCAGCTCTCGTAATGTCCCTGGGACTCGAATACAAGATTGTAGCCATGCGCTTGATCGTAAGCGAAGCCGTGGCGGGTGGATGGATCAAATGTGGAGGCGGGGCTGGATAATGGGTCGGGATTGAGTGGGACAACCGCAAATTTATGCAAGGTGGGTGGCATGGGTAAACTGGGGTCAGCAGTGGGCAATGCCATTGTTAACGGGGCCGCCGAGAGCGACGGAGGGAGCGCGGGATCGGGGTCACGGTTGATTGCGACACGAAAGGAGCTTGTGAACGCCATTGGCGCGTTGGAGGTGGAAGGTGTCGAGGGGGAGAGCAGAAGGCAAACACTGCAAAACAACGCGTTGTTGGACGGACAATGTGTTGCATGGACCGCTAACACTGCACGTGGGCGAGATGGTACTGTTTCTTGTTTATTATTTACAAACAATGAATATAAAATAAGCCTTGAGAGGCGGGAGGGCGGGATCACATGGTCAGCTTCCTTTTCGGGAACGCGTGACCGTGCGGCATAGTCAAGAGCTGGGTTTGCCGTTCCCCTACATGAATAATTACATCGCCCCCGCCCGATCAGCAGACTGAGCTTGAGCGTGAGCAAGATATCACCCATGAACGAGCGACAGACTAACGTCATCCACAGATAAGACCTGCAGTTCCCTCCCATGCCGTCGATAGCAGGTGAGCAGGGTAAAGACGTTGATAATCGATGCAAACAACGCGCCTCTTCCGAGTCGGAGCCCTCCACATTTTTTTGCGATCGCTTGTCGGACACGCGTCAAGCCAGTCGGGCCTCGGCCGGGAATTGGGGAAGGAAAGGGAGCCTGAGCAGATATGAAGAGGTGAGAGAATTCTGCCCCCAGTGTTGCGAAGACGGGTTTTCTGTCGAAGAAAAAGCGGGACCAGCGAGCATGCGATGAAGACACGACGAGCCAAAGAGCGCGAGTGCCGCAGCCCATTATATGCTCCAACGTGCTGCAGTCATGACGAGGGAATGTGTGACGACGAGAG